TTGGCATGTGGCGTTACCGGTGGCAATGATCCAACCTAACCACACATACCTAGATGTAAATTTCACACCGCAGCTGATATTTCTGTCGTCTGTATCACTCTCTCGACTCACACCAATGACTAACGTGGTGTTTAAACGTGATAACTTTGAGTGTTCAGTGTGTAATATTTAGGAGAATCTATTGACAGAAATGCAATATAAAATATATAACTATGGTTGTCAGTGGTGTATAAAGACCTTTCATAATGAACTGTTTTTATTACCTTAGAATGAGTCATTTCTATCTACATACACTGCCGGTCCTCTTACATGGAAGTCACTGTTTTGTGCCGCCATGTTTCTACAGTAGCCCAAAACAGACAAGCGGCTCTACAGAGTGCGTTTCATCACTACGTTGAATATGTACGAAGAAAAACCAAGAATTAGGAGTGATAGTAGTAGCAGTCGTCTGGTTTGTTAGAAGTAAGAAAAGAAAGTAATTTGGACAAATGGAGGACCACACGTATTATTTAGCACAAGAGCCGACCGTCATATAGCTTCTCCTGCATGCTTGGAAAGGGAGGAATGTGCGATGATTGATGGTGCATTCATGTGGTGTCGGAATAATCAGATTTTCTTCCTTTAAGATTGCAGCCGAGGTAGCGCATGTATTTCTGCATATTTGATACGTAACTAGGAACCTTTTGCAAGCACTGGTTTCTCGTTTATGCCTGTTGTCGCTAATTTGCGTCATACCTGAATATATATCTTTTCTCTGTTCTATAGACAAGTTAACAATCTTCACTTAATTTAACATCAGCTTGAAGGGAAATGAAAACACAATTTTTTTAATATTGTAAATAAATTCAGGCGTCAAGCGGTTAAATTTATTGCAAAAAGAGGAATAAATTGTACATGGGACATAAAGAAGTATACAGAACAGTATACAAATGTATAAAACCTTTGCCAGGGTTAAAGAGGACAGTTTTTACAGCCTTTTTGTTGTTTGATTTAGAAATTAAATTGATAGAATTTACAACCTCATGGAGAAAAGGGACAAAGTTAAATTTTTTACTGCTGAATTTAAAATTGCCATTAGAATTAATACATTTATCATAATTATTTCATCCGAAGAGTTTGCAACCCTCACCGCTAGATTTCACTAAAACTTACACATTGAAACATTTAAACTTTACCCATATAAATAAATAAATAAATTGATTAATCAAACCCAGCAGTGATTCAGGCTTAATTAATTCATGAAGAACTGGATAGTTTACTCCATAATGGTTTAATCTTACGATTAACGATTAAACCTCAGTTGCAGAAAATACTATTTCTGATTTTTTTCACATTGGCTGACAGATGGTGGCCTCAGACGCAGTGCTCAAGGTATATTGAACTGCAGGGAACCATAGAAACAGCACTGATGCTTCAGGCTCTGGTAGCAGTTAACTGCTGAAACTGACCTGACTGTGGGTAAGACACAGTCACGCTCTAAAAAATAAAGGTGGATTTCAAACACAGCTTGTCTTTGTTGCTATGGTAGGTTGACATGGTATAGGAGACAATAACGGACTTGCAGGTGTCCTCATAGAGACAATAATAGACTCCAGGTGTCAAATTAGAGAAAGTGATAGAATTCGAGGTGGCTGAGTAGATACAAAAATGGCTTCTCAGGTGTCCAGGTAGAAACAATAATGTATTTCAGGTGTACTCAAAGAAACAATAGTGGACCGTCCACTTTGTCAGTTAAGGTCAATGTCTTCATAGAGACAACAAATACGTTACAAATAGATAGTATGCAATCAATTTCGGTGCGTCATATCAGACTGCAGCAGATCAGTTTAGCAAGAAGAGAAAAATGTGATGTGTGAACCCCCCCCTCTTCTCTCTCTCCCTCCACATAATTACCATGCATAGTCTCTCGCCCCTTGTCTGCAGCATTCCCTCGTTTCTGATCTGCTTTAATTACCACCGGAATTTTAATTGGCGGGAGACAGCAAGGTGGCTGAGGTCACACACACACACACACACACACACACACACACACACACACACACACACACACACATACACACACGCAGGCTGGCAGCCTGACAGCTCATAAGGTAAAAGATGGAGGGATAATTTGAGGAGAAGTGTGTGTGTGTTATCTGGTAGGAATATACGCTGCAGTGTTACATGGTGAACAAAATGGTTTTTTTTTTAATCACAGTTGCTGTTCTCTCTGGCATAAGATGACCAGATTTCTGAAATGAAAACCAGGGACATTTTTGGTTTGGTGGTCAGTATGTCATTAAAAAATATAATGCAATTATATATGAAATAAAAATGAGGGACAATTTCGGTTTTATAATCTGTCAAACATAACTTTCATGAATGTATTCAAGTAATTTCATGGTAGAAATAACCTTTCAGTCAATAAGTAGAGGCTGCAATCACTTTCTGGCAAGTAGTACATAGGTTGTATAGGCCATTTAAAGGTATTTCAACATGTAAAAAGGGCCCGGATTGGATACACATATTCCATCGGCAACACGCTTCTATTATTGCCTATCATGTAAATGTCATGCCTGGTTATACGCTATAAACCGCAAACACTTATTTGGCCACAATTGTGATTATTACATTAGAAGAAATGTTAAAGTATCACAAAGACATAACTTTGCTGTTACCACGGACATAAAGTGATGTTTATTTGCACGTATGTTTGATCCTGATAAAAGCAGCTGTAGACGTAAAGAGACTGGGTGATACCGCTTTAATATACTACGCGTGCTCCCGCGGACGGCAATCAGTTTTCGGCATGACACCTTATACAGTCTATGATTACACAAAGTTAAAAACAGGGATATTTCTGGGGACATGAGCTCATATTACATGGCAACATTCTAAAGTAAGGTGAAAATGGAGAATATAATACCTGGTGAACATCATCATGTTAGCATTGTCACAGTGAGCATGTTAGCATGCTGATCTTAGCACCACTACTGCTTAATACTGCATAGCCTGTTTAGTTATTGACCTTTTTATGTTTTTGTTTTGCTGCCTGTTGCCCTGAACTTTGTGACTTTATTTTTCAAAATTGTTAAGCTTATTTTTTTTTAAAGAGATTACAATGCTTGGATATATTTTGTTGTATTTGCTTGTTGTGATGGTTGCTGCTTGCACATCTCACCCAAGCTCTACCTCTACTTCACCAAATTCAGATTTTTATGTGAGCTAGTGGCCCTTCCCTGCCTTCAGTGTGCCTCACTTTATCTTTGAAGTACTCTGGAAGAAGAAAGCCATTGTTAAATGGTTAAAATGGTTCTTTTTTTGCTGGTTTTTCAGACAAACACACAGTGGTTTCAGTCAGAAGAGCAGCGTCACCTCCTCCAATTCGCCCTCCAAACACAAAATAAGCTCTTTCATATGGAAATGCACTAATTGATTTCCTAAAATCCACATTAAAGCCGTGTATAATTGTGCTTGCTGTTTTGGAGCAATTAAAGCAGAATTTTCCCAACAGTTAATGACTATAATGGGATTTGCGTAATTGAGGCCCCGGTTGAATAAGCTTTGGGTTTTTTAGAGGCTGGATCTCCTCCTCAGCGATGGTGAGTGGAAAACCACTGCAGTGTCTCAGGGAGTCAGAGCACTTTCACCTTTGACCTTTACATACAAAGCAATCCTTTCTGATGACCCTTCTGTTTCTAACTGTATCCCATTACTTCAGTCTTTGGCCTTTTTTGACAGTTCTTTGCAGAGCTAGAAAACAACATGGACCGCAGCGAGATAACAAAATATTATTCAAATGTTGAAATCACAAATAATTTAACAAAAGTGTTCATTTCAGAAATCATGACTGCCTTTTTAGACTGTACATCTCTCTAATAAAGGCAGGAATCTGTGTGTGTGTGTGTTGGTATTTTGATTATGTTGAGAAGCCCAAGGCAGTGCAGTGTCGCATTTGGTGCAAATCAGAATGAATAAACTTTGAATAAACTACAGTAGTGAATTGTTGAAAGGGAGTTATCGTCATCACGCAGGTCTGATAGGCTTATATGTTTGAAATGAATGTGTTGAAACGGAGTTGAAACAGTGTAATTAAATTCTAAGGAAGCACTGAATATCTAGCAGTATCTCTGCCATTGTTGGGTTGTTTCACTAGTTATTAATGCTGAATGTGAAATCAATGTGAGACGCACATTTTGAAAAAGCGGCCCCTGTGAAGGAGCACTGCTCCAGTTTCTTTAATTCTCTGACTTCAACAATATGCATAAAAAGTGAAACTTTGCTTTGCTTAAATGCAGCATTTATTTCATTCTCTTCCAGGTCAATCAAGGTGAAAACTGTATCAGCTAATCACAAAAAGCGATGATTATAACATGATTAAAATATTTAAAAAAGCTGACGATTCTGTAAGTCAGAAATCAGAGTGGTAATGTGACAATTGTGGCAGCAAATTGTTCTCATTCGTTATTTTTTTGAAGGACTTTTAGACCTGGCGATCTCTCCCAGACAGTGGCTAATGCTAATGCAGCTAAAACTTACTATTAAATAATTACTAATAATAATACCTTTAGTAGTTCGTACGAACTGTCAAAATAGTGAGAACAATCGCAATATTTGTGTAGCACATAGTGTATATAGCAGGAAATAAAGACTGTAAGACTGGGGTTGTGTTTTGACCTCTAAGGGGTTCCATCGAGCTGATTAAGAGCTCAACATTCATCCATACTGTTGTGATCTTTTGTCTAATAATTGTGAAGGGTCAAACATGATACATGGCCAAGCTAGCAAACCAAGCTGGGTTTCGGCACACTCCGTTGCTGTAGGATAAAATGTGAGCCAGCTCTGGCCCTGGCGCGGTTTTCAGACTCACTGCATTTGACCTGAGAATCAGCTCCACTTAGCGGCAGAAGGGGAAGCTCAGGGTCGGTGAAGTTGAAGATGAAATTGCTGAAAAAATCAAAGAGTAAATAAGAGAACAAAGATGGCTGCTGATCATGTATGTGCCCTCTGTCTCGCCTTAGCGTCTACGGCTGCCCGCTGGCCAAGAAGAGGAAGGCTCTGGAAAAACAGCCACTGGAGCCGGCTGCCAAGAGGAGGCCCTTCCTCACCTCCTGCACAGGGGAGGAGGAGGAGGAGGACGGCAGCGTTTACACCAGCTACGAGAATGAAGCCATGGAGGTGGGGGCGGAGGGGAAGGAGCAGGGGGAGGTAGTGGAGGAGGACGAGGAGGATGAGGAGGGGGAGAGAGAAGGAGACGAAGACGGTGATGTGGAGGACGAGTTCTCAGAGGACAACGAGGAGCAGGGAGAGGAGGAGGAGGAAGAGGAGGAGGAGGAAGAAGAGGAGGAGGTAGAGGTGGAGAGAGCGGATATGACGATGGGAGGAGAGCGGGCGGAGGACGAAGAAGGGATGTACGAGGACGAGGAAGAAGTGGAGGATGGTGATGATGAGGAGGAGCCGGAGGATGAGGGAGAGGAAGACGACCAAGACGAGGAGGAGGAAGAAGAGGAGGAGCAGAATCGTCAGCAGGGTGAGTTTGCTGATTCTCTATGTGGCTGCTTATTTCCTGCATTTTCTTGTGTTTTCCATGTGGTTGTTTATGAAGTGAGCATTTTCTGATCTGCCACCTCTAACGAGAGGGCTCAGTTCCATTTAGACCAGTGGTTTCCAGAGGCTTTTAAACCCTGGAGCCCTTTCTTAGACATTTTTTTTCATGGTATCTCTACATGTGCAAAAGTGACCTTGTTTTGTAGTTTCCTGTGATGGTTCACAATAAAAGCCATCCCGATGTTTCAGTTAAATGCGGATATAACATTAAAAACAGTAACACTGGATTAGATGCGTGCCTCGTTTCATGTGAATCCCTTTCAATTCAACATAAAAAATAGTATATAAAGAGGTAATTAAAGAATGTAAATAGATTCAATGGTTTTTGCTGAAAAAGAAATCTTAAGGTTTCTAACTTGAATATTGTGATTTTAGTGTTATTCTTCCTTAAAATTTAAATGTTGCCTTGTCTGTTGATGTGGTCAAACATTATTAAAATGTACATTAAAATGAAAATACATCATCCTGGAGTGCCAAAGGTCCCGCGGTACCCTCTTTGAGAACCACTGTTTTAGACAACAAAAACCTCTTGGTTAGGGAAAGATTGTGATCATGTTTAAAGGAAACCAAAGTTGACTGTATGTAGGAGAAGTTTCCGCTGTCTCCGTTGTGTCTTCTTCCCTGTAGAGGTTTTGATGTGCTGCTACAACGTCAAAACTTCCTCTGCTTGTGAGGGACAGTGTTGCCAGATGCCGAAGAAACAAATACTTGCACAAAGACTCCAGAAATATTGTTATTTCAGTCAGAGCAGATCCAGACTACAGCACACCCAGAAACAACTTTACGAAGTATATGACTTTGTATAAAAGGTGCTGCGGTGGGCACGTTGATAAAGTGGTTTGTACTGTTGCCTCACAGAAAGAAGGTTCCTGGTTTGAACCGTTTGGGCGTGAGTTTGCACGTTCTCCTAGTGCCTGTAGGTATCCTCCGGGTCCTCAGTTTCCTATCACAATGCAAAGACGTTTAAAGCTTAGGTTATATATTCATTTCCAATAACTTGAGGATAACCATAAAGAACAAAGCACTTTGACAATTAAAGCATACCAAACTAAAGTATAGTCACAAAGAGGTTTTGAATAGTATCATTGTCTCTCTCACCAGCAGCAGAGACGTGATTTCATCAGTCATGACAGATTCTGGATCAGTTGTCTGTAATGCACTATTGACACTGTTAATAGCATATGATGAATTACCATGCTTGCTCCAAATCAGCTCCATGCCATGTCACCCTAAAGAAAAAAAGGACATGTCAAAATTATTGTTCGTTGAGGAGATCTACAGTGAAAAGGGCTTTTAAAAGTGAACTTTTTTAGGAAAACGTCATAGGTCTTAGGTCCAGTTTTTGAGCAAACCCGTGATGATGTTGTTTTGTCTCTTGAGTCTTACGTGCAGGTTGATGTGCAAAAGTCCTACCATGTTTGAACAGAGTCAACGTGGAACTTTTCCATAAGGTCGACAAAAAGCTTTTACTTTAACAGATAGAAGAACTTAGCAATGTTACATCTCCCAACGGGGCTAATGTTCAGATCCTGTTTTGGGTCAACCCAGGGTCCGGTCTTGGTTTGCGCGCATTTCGGGTCTGTATGGTAGGAGAAGAGAAAGTGAGGATGAGAGCTGTTGAGACGAATCTCTGGTAGACCAGATGCTCTGCCCCCCCTCTCTCCACCAAACGCCCCCCGTGTCCTCAATCGCTTCTGACAGCGCTTCACGAATAATCGGGAGAGGAGCTCTGCTGAGTTATTAACTCCCACCCTCCCCTCCCTGTTTGCCTCCTCGTCTCGGCGGACGTGTCACATGCGCTCTGCCTCGGCTTCTCCTCCTGAGAATATTTATGGCTCCCGAATCGGAGCACTTCACACGCCTCCCTTTTCAATTTCTCTGCTCTCATTCGCCATCGCTGTCCCCAAAATCAACAGCGAGGCTTAGCTGGGAGACCAGCGCTGCTCTGCACAGCTCTGGGTTGTATGTTTTCTGTGAGTAAACAGTGGATCATAATTGGGAGGGATGCAGCTAATGTATTCAGGAATATATGAGAGGAAACTGGGTTCATTAGGAATGCTGAGTTTATTAGAGGCTGTAAGAGCTTCGTTTCCTTTTCATCTGCAGGATTTGTATTCTATAAATGAGCAGATAGTTATATTATCTACAAAATGAATCAATTTCCTCTTTAATTTTTGACCTATTGCCTACTGTTTATGGTGTTTATAGTGCAAAATACTGAGCAAAACTATGCTGATTGGTAAAAACTGGCTGTGATGTGAAATGGGTTTTGTGTTCAGATGCCCAAACTCTGTAAAGTCTGAGAGATTTGTTTTTTTATTTCCTGACAGTAGAGAACCACTACAAACCCGGTGGACAATCAAAGCTCTTTCCAATTCAGAAGGACGACAACAACAACAACAGCTGCACCATCAGCGCTGGTAACGGCACCGGTGAGGAGTACGAGAACTACGACGAGCTGGTCGCTAAGTCGCTGCTCAACCTGGGCAAGATCGCAGAAGACGCTGCCTACCAGGCCATGACCGAGTCTGAGATGAACAGCAACTCCTCCAACAGCGCCGGGGAAGATGAAGATGATGAGGAGGATGACCGCAGCGATCAGGGCGACCGGAAGGGCGAACTGAGCGTGGACCTGGACAGTGATGTAGTCAGGGAGACAGTAGATTCCCTGAAGCTCCTTGCGCAGGGCCACGGCGCCATGCTGCCCGAGGATGGCTACCCAGAGGGCGCCATGGTGGACGACCGCGGCCATGCTAATGGGCGGCCCAGCGTGGGGGTTAGGATTCAGGAGGACGAGAGCGAGGAGGAGGTGTGTCTCAGCAGTCTGGAGTGTCTGAGGAACCAATGCTTTGATCTGGCTCGGAAACTGAGCGAGACGCAGACGTCAGATCGCCCCGGCGTCCACGTCCTCCACCACCAACTCCAAATCCCATCAGACCAGCAGGTGGTGCATCACCTGAACAGGTACCTAATCTCTCGTTTGATGTTTTTGTTTTTCCACATGTTCAACATTTTATACTATTGGCATTGTCCTCTGTGACTCAGTGGGTCTGATTTTAAAGGGTTTGAAAGGAGAGCAGTTAGTGGGCCTTATTACTCCTGAGCAGTGCGGAGTACGGAGGCAAAATTACTGTGTGAGGTGAAAGGGACAGGTGCATAATGGTGCTCTAAAAACAACAGGTTGTTAGTTATTGTAATTTGGCCTGCTGATTTAGCAACCTTCATCCCACACACACACAGCTCATGGAAGGCAATTAAAATACTTTAAAACCTTTGGAGCCTGAGAGCAGCAACTCGTGTCAAACAACATACTCCTTCTTGGAGTAAAATAAAATTGTGAATAAACATCCGTAAATCCAGAATCATCACCTGAACAAAGAATCATCACATTTTTTAAAATTGTATTCAGTGGTGATTTTCTGTTTATGGTTGATACTGTTGCTTTTGTTACCTTTTGAAAAAATGTCATCAACATGCCATTTCTGTTACAATGCCATCCATTTGTGTGTGCAACACAAAGTTGTTATGGTCAAATACTGTAAGCTAAAGCTGTGGAAGTTAAACTTGGAGTCAGCTGTAACAAATTGCCATTGGGAGGTAAGCAACCACGTATGAAGCGCTCCAAGATGCAGCGGGAGAGACAGGCTGATGGTCTGTCTCTTCCAAATTTTAAATTCTATTATTGGGCTTCCACGCACGGTGACCTGTCTTGAGCCTGCTGCATCTGTGTTGTGGCGTAACTGGAAGACCTTACTCCTTACTTCCTCCAAGATCTTTTGTATTCTAATGTGCACATTACTCTGTGTCGCTGCAAGTGTGGCCCGATTGTCTCGAATTTGCTCTCTGTGTGGAGAGAGAGAGTGCAGAGAAAGTGTTTGGTTGCCCTTTTGTGTGAAACCCAGGCTTCCCAATATATAATAATAATAGACTGCTAATTGGTGGCCATTCTATTCAGTCCTCTCGTTGGCGAGAGAAAGGGATTTATTCAAAGGGGGCCTGTGCTCATTCCAGGATCTATGTACAAAATTTGATGTACCACTTTCCTCTTTTTTTCATTTATTTACAGTTAAGATTGGCGCTAAAGGCTTGTACAGCACCAAAGGCACAAGGGGCCTAGTTTCCAAATTATACTGGTTAATCTCACAGCACTCCTGGCAGTAGATGCTTTGTGGAGGGCCGATATCCCGGACCTGGACCCAGCACTTCAGTGGAAGCTGCCTCCAGAAATCCTGAGTGTATATAACACCCAAGCTTTGTTTAATGAAAATGATTGATGACCCTATTTGCACTTTGTGTTCTATAACGGCCACTGGTACTTATTTTGCTCTCCACTGACCAGATTCTGGGAAATGGTTGCCTCTAACCTCTCTGTTATGTTTGCGATCATTCAGCCGTTATACTAATTTCTAAATGATCTGTCCAAGCTGTCCAACTCAGATCAAAAAGCGAGCGCTATTAGCCGGCCTGACAGCAGCAAAACAAATTGGTTGCTACTCACTAGAAGCAACTCCCTCTCTTTCTGAGTTTGGGTTCTGATGTACCATGATATGGTGTACTTATCACCAGCCCGTGTACATGGAGCTCAGTCTCATCCATCCATCCATCCATCCATCCATCCATCCAACGTGAGTAGTGAACAGTAGTGAGCAGTGAACTTTAAAAGCCTTTTGGTCGAGAGCTGTGGCCTGGATCCCGTTGGATGGTGGTTGATGGCTCTTGGGGGTGGTCATGGTGCAGTGGTTAAGACACTTTGGTGTGAGAGACCTGGGTTCAATTCCTGCTGCAAGACATCCGCCATTGTGTCCCTGAGCAAGACTCTTAACTGCTAGTTTCTCCAGAGGTGGGTGACCTCTGATATATGTAGCAATTGTAAGTTGCTTTGGGTAAAATTGTTACTATCATTATCTTTTGGATACTGTGTGCATTATTACTCATATCGACAACAACTTTTTAGTGTTACATGTGATGTCATGTTGTGAAAAATGTTCTTAAAAGAATTACTTCTAGATTGTAATATTTGAAAACGTTATTCACTAGGTAAGTTTACTAGACTAAATTTCAATTTGCTGTTGAAATAGACTGGCTCAGAACAAGTGTTTACCTCTCTCTTCAGGTGGGGATTTTTGATGTTACAATATCATATTTGGGATTTACATGAGCCTTGTATCTCGCTAGTCACTGATAGAAGATTTAGCTTTAATTTAATTGGTTTCTTGGACAAACTCCAGGCTTTGAGAATAGATTTAGACCTTTTCTAACTACTGGATAACCATTTCTTGTCCTGCTTACTGCTCAGGTACGACAGCTGCCACCAGAGTGCACAGGAGGAACACAGGGCTCTAGAGCGCAGCTACTCCGACATGGTGAACCTGATGAAGCTGGAGGAGCAGCTGAGCCCAGCGTCCAGAGGTTATCCAACCAGCTGCAGCCAGGAGGGTGACGAAGACACCACATCGGTGGCCTCTGACCGCTCGGACGAGACCTTCGACATGGCCAAGGGAAATCTGTCGCTGCTGGAGAAGGCAATCGCCCTGGAATCGGAGCGGGCGAAGGTCATGAGGGACCGGATGGCCTCAGAGCAAACGTTTCCCCGTCGGGATCACCATCATCATCATCATCGTGGCCATGGTGAGCATAGCCCGAGGCTCAGCAGTGCCGCGGAGGAGCGCAAGTCCAGGATGCACCATGATGGGTTGAAAAGGGCGTATTACCCTAAAGGTAGGCAGCAAAAGCCCACACGCTGACCCTCACTGTGTCATTATTGATCTGTGTTCAGCAAAGTAAGACTGTATATCTTGATCTGTTATGTATGTATTCATTATGGACACTGCTGGAAAATCTGTCAATTACAAAGTTTCCTGAGCAGTGTAGCACCAACTTACTTGTCTCATTTTTTTGGTATTGCGTTACAGATGTCTCTGCAATTTTAGGGTATGAAAGTTCTAATATAATAAGAGAGTTTTGAGCTCTCACCTTATAGCGTACACATACATTTAATCTTAAACTATGCTTTGTGTTCATGAGGCGTTTGGTCTACATTGTTTGTTCTTCCACATGGTACTATACTCAGATAGTTTATATCTGGGGAATAGAAATGTTGTCTGGGAGGTTTTTTTTTCATACCAGGACTATTTTTACCACAACGACTGGACTTCCAGAGGCAAATTTAGTTCATTCCATCAGTCAGCATGTAGCTCTACACCATCAAACTGCATCAGTGTTCACAGCACTTGAACAAAATCATTTAAAAAGGAACTTGTTGTTACTATAAGATAATAAAAACAGTTTGTTCTCATCAACAAATGTTCCTGAAAATTTGAGTGTTTGAACTGTATTTACAAAGTCGTCATCTGATCATGTTTCCTCTCCCAAGTTCTGCCAATTTCACATCACTTCTTTGCATCATATTTGACCTGAATCTGCTATTACTCCAAAAAATTGGATCCCAGGTCAGTAGGGAGGAAGTTTATCTTGTGTGCCTGACTTATTGTAACCCTCAACCCTGCAGCAGCTGGAGGCTTTCAGTGCTGTAGAAGGAAAAAAACACATAACTGTAACTTTAATGTGTGTCTTTTGCCTCCCTGATTCAAACATCTCTGTGCACATTGCAGGGTTGAATGAGTTTTCTGACCCCTAGGCTCTTAAAACCTGTTTAAATCCCATTGTGTTATTTCAGAAATGCTGTACATGGCCGCCGATGAGATAATGGGCACTCATTTCCTGCATTCAAGACCAACACAGTTTTTTTTCTGCAAATGCATGGTTTTCCTCTGACAGCAGCTTATGTTGTTAAAATAGGCCGGTGTGGGAACATCAGACGGCCGGCTTGTCAGCCATGAGTAATGGCAATCTGCACGGCCCGTTAGGAGAGCAAATCCATCTGTGGGACGCTATCTGCGGCCTATTTCTCTAAATCCACTCAAATACAACCCCACCGCTGCCGGGAGGGAGTCGGAGCTGTGCAGTCATCAGCCACACATCAGACTCAGATGGGCTTCAGACTGCTTCATTAGCACAGAGGATGCCTTTGTCAGTCCACAGGAAAGCTTTCATTATGATCTGGCCAAGGACAGTAAACTCAGGCCAATTCCAGGTGTCAATTTCTGGCCCAACTAACTGGAGCTGATTCTCAGCCCCATTGACTCAAATCTGCCCCCCTGCACACTGTCTTCATGTTAGCTGATTTCCTGCTGTACAGGGTTGTTTAGTTTTCCCTGAACCAATCAGTAGCAAGTCATGCTTCCCTCCCACAAATGTCATTTTCAGTCGACACAGAAGCTGTAGTGGCTGCTAGGAGCGGTTTTTCATAATGATCAAATAAATATGTTGATTTAAGAGTTGTAATTTTGACTTACAACAACTTGTACAACTGCATCAATCTCATCCATGCTTGTCGCCCTTTTTCAGTCGCCTTTTTTCATCAATGTACCGAAGTTGATGACGCGCCCATTCTTAATCCTGCATGTGAAGCTATGATAGCCAAATCTGGCACCCATGTATGAGATAGAGCCGGCTCACATTTGGTCGTTTGATGCCAGAAAACAGCCGACTGTGCCAACACTTGGCCTCTGGTTACCTGTTGACTCAACACCACCTCCTGCTCATTCTCTCTGTCTCATCTCTCTGTCCTTTCCAGACTCTTCCAGGGGGGAGAAGAAGGAGAGTAAGTGTCCAACGCCAGGCTGTGACGGGACTGGTCATGTGACGGGTCTGTACCCGCACCACCGCAGCCTGTCTGGGTGTCCTCACAAAGACGAGTCCCGCCTGAGAGTAGGTCCCACTGCCTGGATGTCATGCTGCGCTGAAAACACACCCAGCTTTAAAAAAAAGTCTGACAAGTCATTTCAGCTTGTACAGTGCTTCAGTCTGATGTTGTACTTTGTGGTTTAAATTGTACAATCTTTTCTCAGAGGTAGACCTGCTTTGGAGGCAGAAAACATCTTATTGGTTAAGTTAAATCAATTGGGAGAGCTCAAGACCCCCAAATTTGAATAAATACCTAAATTAAATTTTAAAGAAGAAACTCTGGCATAATAAATACAGTTAGCAATGTATAAATAATAATGTATGTAGTTCAGCGGGCTAGCTAACATAGATAAAATAGTTACTTTATCCTACATCTTTTCGCTTAATGGGCAAATTAATTTGGCTCTGGGTCTAATGCCGCATTCACGTCAAAACGTTCAGGCGTAATCACAAGCAGCTGAGAGGGAAAAACTTTTGACGTCATGTTCGTAGTTCTAATTTTGAGTTGGAGATATAGAGCATTTCTACCTACGATACTGATTAGTTAGATCAAATTAAGTTACATCAGATTAAAATCCAATATTAACTCTTACTGATTTGATTCAGCTAATTTTTTATGATGATTTTATAATGATTTTAACACTGTTTTAAAGATTTAAGATATTTATCTGGTGCGACTACAAGGCTAGCAAAGACTTATCTATACTTTTTCTGTTCTTTCCAACACAGTGTAAGAAATCTAACTCATCCAGGGAAATTGCGGTGCTTTAGCTCCAACCCCTGAGATTTAATGTAACCAGATAAATGCCTCTGAGAAATGTTTGTAGATCTGAAACCATAATCTTCTTTTATTTTGCCCTCAAGTTATTAGAAGTAATGTACACCAATGTTCTCCTTTAATGTCCAAAGAAAAAGTAAATTCCTGTACACGGTATTGTGACTGCTATAAACTTAAACAATTGAAATTTCACCCACTTCCAAAACTTACTTTCTTACTTTAACTTTAAATTTATTCACTTGTCCGACCAGGATAATGTAACCTGATTTCAGAAAACTCAAAGTTTTCAGATGGAAACAATCTCTTTATTTAGAAATAGGGTTTAAATAATTAAATATGACTTCAAATGACTTGTTAGATAGATTGTACAGCAGTGAAAGTTTTTTGGGCATGTTAGCTGTCCACCATCATGCATCCATCCTGCATGACTCTACATTTGTGTTTTGTTGTGTTTTATAGATATGCTGGGTTTGACTTCAGCTTCAGGTGGAGCTGAGGATTTATTTCTCATTTATAAATAAATTATTTGTAATATTTTAAATGAGTGTGTGACAAAACATTCAGACTACTGATGATTTAACATATTTTTGATCATTAGAAGAGCAAAATTGAAGATAAACCCTGATCGCTGCGACACATTATCAAGGGTTTGAGTTTCAAAGACAGCTGAACTTTGAAAATAGATTTCAGATATTCTTTAGTATCAGAAGTGAAGATTTAGTTGTTTCTGCACATTTTTTTAGTATTTGTGTCCTCCTTTCCTTTCTTTTCTTCCTCCTCATCACACCTGCTTGATGTCTGGTTTTGGTATCTGTGTTGCAGATGTAACGTGAACAGCATGAACAATCAGTTGTGTCTACCTGCTGGCTGCAAAAACTCACAAAAACAGCCTGCATGAGAACATCTCCGAACATCCAAACCTGCTTCAGTCATACACACTGAACTCGCAGATGATATGGTACATAATAACATGGTAAATTGGATTAGATAAAACTGAAAAGGTGGGGCAATATGGGCACTTCATCTGCAAAATGTAACAATATAAAGAAGAACAGAATTGAATACAATTTAAGAATACTACAAATAGTACTAGTGTCAAAATATATACCTGAAAGCATCCGAGTTTTCCTTTTGGTCTCACAGCTACCACTCTGCAAGATTAAATTTTTGCCCAATTTATTTCAAGTGATATCAACATTTATTTCGACATCTATTTCTAAGAATAAATACCTTAGAAATGTAGTATTATTACCATAATCAAATTAAATGGCTTAAATGGTAATAAATCACGCGGTTTCCTAAAGTTATATGACGTTTCACAATTTTCAAAAACAGTCCTAACCTAACTTTTCCAGTGATTTTCAATAGAATATATAGCTGAAAAATATTTTGATAACTTATGCATTATGGCGTGTTTTTAGTGCATATAAGACAAAACATTTCACACTAAATTACACTTAAATATGCAATATTATGCAGTATGCGAAACCAGACCAAATTGTGAAGATGAAAACTGTAATACACAGTATAAAGGTATACTGTCTTGGTGTTGAGACATGCAAGAAAAACTTACTGCTCAACATGTCAGCATATGCACATTGTTACAGTCTAGATGGATACATGACATAATCAACAGCTATAAAACAATTTACTTCTGATGCAAAATCAAGTACGTTCATCACCTCACACGCTGTTCCTTAACTATCTGCAGAGTCATCAGTAGATTTTAACAGTGCATGACAAACTTTTGCTTCCAGTAGGTTCGTCATCTCATGAAATTTAATGAATGAGCACAGTAATCACAATGCAAATGAGACGTGTGTTTCCCCAGCAGGAAAGGATTACATGGAGTAGACATGACTAGAACCCGAGAGTAGTTTGTGATGGCAAGACGTTTACCTTGAAAGTCTGACAGAAAACTTTTCTACAGGGAAAGAGGTTTTCTTGAGATTATGTTGAAGCAAAACCTGAAGCGAACCTGAAACTGTTAAGGTGGTTAAAATGAAAATGTAGCTAGAGTTTTCACTGCCTAAGTGAACTGTTGTTTTAACCATACCACAGCACCATAATCCTTTCACGCTGGAGTTTGTCATCACACTAAATCATTATCATTTAAAAAAAAAAATTTAGTCCCATTGTCGTGTCAGTCGTGCAGCTATAATCTATCGTGCAGCTGTAATCTGTGCATGCCTAACCGCCGTAGCTGAACGCTTTGTAACTCTCCTGTCTGCTCCTAACCCTCGCTGTCTTTTTCACCTTTTCCTGTCTGTCAAAGTCCTTGCCATGTATGAAAATGTTTTAAAGTGCCCCACTCCTGGCTGCTCTGGACGGGGTCATGTCAATAGCAACAGGAACTCGCACCGCAGGTGAGTGAGCGTCCTTCAGATAGGGTCGCTGAATTACACCGTTTTCATGTGAATGTGGCTGATTTACAGCACAAATGCTGTAAGTTTCTATGTTGTTAGAAGTTTAAGATCAAACTGTTTCGGCTTCACGGCTTCATTAAAAATGAAATATAATTCAACAACTGCCTTAAGGGCAAGTCCAAGTCAAGCCACAAGTCTCCAAAAGAAAATTGCATGTCAGGCCACGAGTTGACCAGGCTAAGACATGAGCATTGTCTTGAGTCACATCTTAAGATGTCAACTCTCATGTGAGTCAAGTCTCTGTTGATTTCAATGGATAGTAAATGTTGACATTGCTGAATAGTGACCTTGTTCTTGCAGTTACTGTTCAGAGGAAGTCTTGACATAGTCTCTGGTTGTACGTACAACATCTTTGTTGTAGTTTTTCTACCAAAAATAACTGTTGAGAGATTTTAGAGGTTTATCTCAACCCTGATTTCTTTCTTTTGTAGAAAATGATCTCTGTTTCTACTGCCACAATGCATAAATTTTGGAACATTCCCAGGTTTAGATGCGTGTGGGAAAGAGGCTTAAATCTAAATTTTGCCATATTTGAGCTGAAGGTGTGTCTGCGTCACATCAGCAGTTCAGCTGTTTAACAGGCAGAGCAGACTTTGCATGCAGGCTGCAAATACACGCACACATACATGCATATTTTTCAGTTATGTAATGTGATTAGGACTCATTTTCTCACACATACGTAGAGCCTCAGATCACAGACATAGACACTGTTTTATGCACGCACAGTCTTACTGAAAGACACATTCACATATCCACACACGCACACAAGCTCACAGTAAGACACAAATTAGCTCACAGACAGCAGCACACATGCACAGGCAGACAGAGGAACACACACACACACACTCACACATTCGCTCAGACGTGGCTGCAGGGTGTGTTATATAGCACAGCTCCGCTGGGAGAGGAAACAAAGCACTAGCTAGCTAGCTTAGCTACTGTTAGCTACCAGCTCACCCAGCTTTCATGTCTTGCAGTCGCCATGGAAACGCCTTCATGGCAGCAGCAGCAGCAGCCGCCGTGCTGATCTGTCACACACTGCTCACACACTCTTATTATCCTTCAAAATGTGTGTGTTGGCAATAACAGTATTTCATTCCCTACGTGTATGAAGTGGTCCAGAATGACACACAGAGGGAGAAGCAGGACGTTTTGAATACAAATGCTGTTTCAGCCAATTGACTTCTCCTTTACCCTGAAATCACGTCAGAAATACCATGTCAGCGACTCATAAACTAAACATAAAATGACTGTCCTTCCAATCAGCACCAACTTTAGCAGCTGGTTGGAGCCGTGGAAGTTAAAGGACAAACGTCTTGAAACTATTGCTCGATCTGATAGACAAATGAGTTTCAGCCAATTCAACAGCCGTAACAGCTGTAAACCAGTCAGTCAGTAAACCAGTTTGAAAACCAGTCAGTCAGTCAGTACATCTGTCACAAAGCATCAGTCAGTAAACCAGTGATGCAGTCATCATAAAGTAGGCCATTTAAAATCCATAATTCATCCTGTTCTGCTGTTACTGACAGCTGAACTACTCTTCATTCAGAGCCAGATGCTGTGTGTGTGTGTGCTCTTGTGCACAGTACTGTATGTAACCAGGCCATGCTTTGTCTCCCTTCCCTCCTCCTCCAGTCTGTCCGGCTGTCCCATCGCCGCCGCAGAGAAGATGGCGAAGGTCCATGAGAAGAGCCACTCGACTGACAGCGGCAGTAAGACCAATCAGACGTCAGACCGTGTCCTCAGGTACCACCCACTCTGATTGCAGAGTCTGACCAACTTTAAAGATAACTTGTTTTAATAATAATAATGTGTTAACTCATCCAGTGCAACCTTTAATTGTCATATATTAATAAGGGATGCCAAATTGTGCATTCAAATACAAATATATTCTATTGTTCATTGACATCTTGGGTTTGGGGAACAGCTGTAGATATCATGTTTTCTTAAATCAGTGATGCCAAATGATGCAATGAACCACCAGCACATAAACCCAGTCTTTTTGGGTTGTTATAAAGCCATATTTATGGATAAAATTTCCACACTTGTGTTAGTGGGAAACAACTGCAGATCATATAAACTTTATTTACCAGGGGAAGCACAATAGTGCATTAATGGCCAAGCTTCTCTGAAACATCTATAAGACAAAAGGGCTTTTGGAAATGTCTTCAGACAAATCAAGGATGTCAAATGGTATAGTGAAATGAGCAGTATACAAACATTCCCCTCCTGAGCGTGTGTTTTGTCATACAGGTAAACTGCTGATTGTTATTAAGGGATGCTAAATGGTGCAGTCACATTTGCACCATACACTATGAACACAGCGTTTACTTTGTCTTGTTCATTGTCAACTTGGCTTTGAGAAAAATACTGATTATATTTACACCTATTTCTTAAATCAGGGATTCTGAATGGTGCAATGAACGGCCTATTTTTGCCTCTGGTTGCCTTTCAGGCCAATGTGTTTCGTCAAGCAGCTGGAGATTCCTCAGTATGGCTACAAAAACAACGTTCCCACCAGCACACCACGGTCTAACCTGGCCAAAGAGCTGGAAAAATACTCCAAGACCAGCTATGACTACACGGGTTATGACAACCAGCATGGCGGATATGGAAAGAGAGGCCCAACAACCAAGTCCCACCACGGGCGTGACACCTCCCCAAAGGGATACGATGGTAAAGAAAAATGAATGCACATCAACAAAGCTGATCTGAATTCTAAATCATCAGATTATGTGACTATGATTCATCATTTATTTGTCTCCTCTGTTTGAAGGAGGGGTGGTGTTCTCGTGTACACACATTGAAAAGAAATATGTCACAGTGGGTGGCAGCACAGATAATACACAGATGCTGCATCTACAGTACAATACTGGAATTTAAACAAGAAGAATAACAGAAAGCAACAAGAAGAAGAAGCAGAAACCACAATGTTATTATTTATCAGAAGAAATCAGTTACATTCTGTCTTAGCGCCATTAGTGCCATTTATCCATATTGATGTTTCGAATTCTCCACCTCTGGTAAATATGAAAAAAGATTATTAATTTGAATTCATTATGTTTCCATTCCTATTTAATGGGAAGGAAACCTACAAAATGATGCCACTATCTATTCATTTTCCTGTTCTAGGGAGAACATTTTGTACTACAATAATAGCTTGACAGCACACACACACACACACACACACACACACACACACACACACACACACACACATCCTCAGCACTCAGTGTGTTCTCTTTGTTAGAGCACTGAAAGCGCCGGTGTTTTCCGCCTCTCCACATGGCTAGAGTGAAAGCAAGAGCAGAGTTATGGAAATGCCAAGCTAAGAGCCTGCCTCCTCTGAGCAGTGGAGGGAGTGAGGAGGTGCGGATGGAGGGTTTGTGAAATAGGAGAGAGATAATGGAGGCCAACCCTGTTTCTTTGGCTGGGAGCCATTAGTGAGACGCAGGCAATAGGGAGGTTTTTAGACGAGGTGTCTGTGCTCCCCTCCGTCACGACTCCCTCCCGCCTTTCCAACATCCTTCTCTCCATCAGCATCACTCCAGCCTGCTGAGCCCCGATTCACCATAACACCAGCAGAAAATCATTATGTCTTCCTCCCTGTTGCTTTGTCCCTACTGCTGCCTCTCTTTTCTCCTCTGTCTTATTCTTCGTCTGACTCTAAGTGTCTCCTTGTGAGGTGTTATTCCATATTTTTGTTGATGTCAATATGACCAAAACCAACAATGTATTAGTCCATATCTAAATACCTTCCGACTTTTCCTACCCTCTCTGTGGCTAGTTAGCTCCTACTGAGGAAATAAATCTTCAAATGGAGTTTCAATATACAGTACAGAATTACCATAAACAGCTGGTCACTGTAGTTTTAGCAAACTTTTTTCAGTACAAGTACAAAATAATGCATTTGTTGGGGACTATTTTCAGCTGAGGATTAATCCACATGAGGTGCTCTAGTGAGTATTTGGGGCAGCGGTACAGTGTATGTGGGACTGAGTCAGAATAAACTACAGTGTGTGTGTTCATGGTGATGAAGGAACATGTCACCTAGTGTTTGTCATAGTTTTTGGACAACAATTGAGCTCTACGGCTCAGAGGGGGAAGAGATAACAGGCTTTGGATACACACAGTGCTTGTTAGTAGATTCATTAATTGTTGGTTTTGATCAGTTAATCACCAGCCATTCAGTTTATATCTCTCTCTCTCTCCTTCCCTCATCAGTCTGTCTATTATTTTCCTATTTTAAATGCAACAGAACTTCTGTTTTTCATGTTAGATCATCTGTAAATATTCACCTGCTGCAAAGTTTGGCCAAATGCCAGCATCAATCTAACAAATCAAGCATACGTGTGTGCATCCCCACAGCTAAGCGCTACTGCAAGACGTCGAGCCCGGCCAGCAGTACGACCAGCAGCTATGCACCCAGCAGCAGCAGCAGCCTGAGCTGTGGGGGAGGAGGAGGTGGTGGAGGAGGTGGAGGAGGAGGAGGAGGAGGAGGAGGGGGAGGGGGAGGAAGCAGTGCCAGCAGCACCTGCAGTAAGAGCAGCTTTGACTACACCCACGATATGGAGGCAGCCCACATGGCGGCCACGGCCATCCTGAACCTGTCGACGAGGTGCAGGGAGCTCCCGCACGCTCTTGGAGGGAAACCCCAGGACCTGCTGACACAGGTAGTCTGAGGCGGTGTACACAAACACAGTAGAAAAATACACATTAGAAAAATACACATTACTATAATTTTGGAAACATTATTTTCATATATACAGAATATATATATATATATATATATATATATTCTGTATATATCTGATGGTAAAGGTTTGACTCATGTCCTTCATAGTTTTATAGGATAATTCAGGTTTATTTTTGTTGTTTTGAAAACTTCTTAATAATAACATTGTACCCACCAAGATAAATGTTGACATCTAGGAACATGGTGAAATCACTAAAAAAAGTCAGATGGGTCAAGAAACGTTAGCAGTCAGACCATCAGAGAGTTTGTAAAAAAATCCAGTTACATTTCTAAACTGTCTGTTTTAAACATCCATCAAAGATTTCAGATTTGCTTCTTAGTTCAACTCTGACCTACAGTTAATAACATAGTTGTTTGCACATAGTTTTCCTGTGCATTGAAGGATTTTTACCAACATTTCAGGTGCGCTCACGTGCTGTTTTATCTCTAAATAAAGTACTTTAGATAAAATGGTTAAACTGTTTTTTTCCCGTGTTTCCAGATCTCAGCAGTCAACTTGGTGAGTACAATGTTATTATTACTGACAGACATGTTGAACAAGTTGTAATAAAATGAACATTATGCTTTAAGGGTGCTTTTCTAGCTGAACCTAGGAGCATTCAACAAAAACTTTTTCATAACGCAGATCTGGACCAGGTAGATTAAATCAAACTTTCACATAGGGGCCTGACTGATACTGAAACTTTGAGGCAAATACTGATATTGATATTTGAGAGTTTAAAATCTCTGGTGATGACATATCAGCCAATGTTTGTTTTTTTAACATTGACACATAACATAAAGAAACATTTTCATAAGGATCCTCTAAGGGGGCACTCTACCAATTTAACACATGATGACCAGTTTACTCTTCAGGGAGAGTACTGACCAGTAAACTGACTGGAGGAGAAACTAACCCTGATCATGTCATGAGAGTATTCTCAGATGGGTTGAGACGTCATACTTTTAACAGTGTGTTATGCAGTTGTTGCATATCGTTTGAAAGACGTGGGCATTTATACGGAGGGTCTAATGATCTAGTGTTTTTCGAGCTTGACTCATAGTCAGGATATCTCGCCTCTGCTGCTTTGATTTTGACTATTTTATATTTAATCCAAAACTTGTGACACCCCCAACATTCCAACATTTAGAAAGTACAACACTAAATTGCTGAATTTTGGTTATTAAAGAAGTGTTGTACTTAAAGATGTTGCTTTTCCACCATCTACTTTTATTTATCTACACCAGTGATCATCAGATCTTTCCCTGCCTGTCTCCATCAGAGTCCAGTTGGCGACCTGGACGACAGCGGTGTGGTGGATGTGGCCGGTCAGCCTGGCGGTCCGGAGGGAAGCGGGACGGTGTTAACCCCCCTGCAGCCGATGTCGCCCCAGCGGCAGGCTCTGCTCAGTAGTCGCTGCTACCAGCTGAGCGAAGCCGACTGCTGGGACCTGCCCGTCGACTACACCAAGATCAAACGGCTGGGAGAAGAGCAGGACCACAAAGAGGTAACGGGAAGGTCTACATCACTTTGCAAAGTTTCCATTAATTCTATGGGTGACATTGGAGAAACTAACAAGAGACACCTAGATGTTAAAAGTGTGCAACCCAATAAATCCCAGCGTCCCTTTAGGTCTCCCTCATAAAAGCACCAAATTGCTGACTCCAGCTTGAATCAAACACAACAGACCTAAAATCGTTTACTGTGTTTAGAATCAATAGACTTTGCAGTTTTGAGTTTTACAGTTTGCAGAAGTTAGATTAAGTAGTAACACTTTATTTTACATGTCATTTATTTCCCATTTCAGTTAATTGACTCAAAGAATTAAGAAAAAAACGCTCCATTTAAATGCAAGTACATATTCATTTAATATTGATAAATTATTGGAAACTTTGTTCATCATATGTGTGGAAATGTTTGCTTACTTGTTGACAAATTTTCCATTTTTGCATGTTCAGCCGACCTACAGCGCACTGACTGAAAGAAAAGGTTATTCTAACAATTAATTGGTAATAATTTTAAATTTTAAATGTACAAACTGTACAATGTCTGTTTTCACTGGTAGTATTTAACTTTCATGCCACTTTCTACTTCTGCTTCCCCACATCTCAGAGGGAAATATTGTACTCTTTACTTCACTACATTTATCTGACAGCTTTAGAAACTAGTTTACAAATGAAGATTTAAGCACACAAAACATAAGAAGAGCTTCAAAAATATGATGCTTTGTCATAAATTAAACTCCTCAACAGTTTATACATGTACAGCTGAAACGGTTTGGACTGCTGGTTGGACAAAACAAGCATTGTGAAGGTGTCCCTTTGGGCTCTCTGGGATTGTGATGGCATTTCTCACTATTTTCAGAATTTTACAAATCAAACAATCAATCGATTAATTGAAAAAATTATCAGCAGATGAATCCAAAATGAAAATAATTAGTTGCAGTCTAATACAAAATAGGTAAAAATGAGCTCCACCTCAACCAACAGAAAAAATGCTGCTTTTACATTAATGCATGAGTGATACAAATATAATATATGTAAGTATAAAGTACAGTTTACTGTTACTCAAGTAACAGTGCAGTCAATGCAGTGGGGTTAGTACTTCAGTAAAGGATCTGAAAACTTCATCCACCACTGTTTTACTCAGGCACTGAAACAGCCTACAGTTTGCAAAACTTATACTTTACCAGCAAGTACATTGAGAGTTCAGGGTTTACACAACTTTTAACTGAGGAGTTATTTTATAGTTTTTAATTTATACTGTAGAAGTCTACAGTTTAGAGTTTCTTAATGTGATTTGTGCTGCAGCTGAAATCGACATCATCAGATAATGAAAAGAGATACTGCAGACCCGTCAGTGAGTTTATATCCAAAGCGCCTCACCAGTTTGCAGATGAATGGACTTATTTACACTGACACATATTAACGGATTATTGGGGTCATTTTTAGACAATAGGTAAAAAGTCTTAAGTGATAAGGAAGCAGAGATAGTAGAATCACTTAACTTTAAACTTTTCATTCAAAAATTAATGTGACATATAAGTTATATGAAAACATGAGCATAACTTTTGGACCAAATTGAAACTCTAAATGTTGCTCATGCTCCACACTCTGCCCTTACAGTTCTGATTAAAGCTTTAACCACCTAGTTTCATATTTAGGCAGCCTGTCCCCTAATCACGGCAAGTAAGGATAATTTGAAGCATGAAATTGAAAGATTTAAGGGATCCAGAGTTGATATTACTTAAAGGGTGTGCGCATAGATTAAGAGATGATTACAGTTAATAAGCTGTTTAAAGGGATGCTTGCCGCCCTGATGCATAGCAGAAAAGCACTACAGAGAAGTTGTGGACTTATTTTGCGAGGGTGTACTAGTACGCATAATTTTTGCATCACTTTACATACATAATAAGGAATGTTGTAAGTTTAGAAAGGTCCAGTATGTGTGTATGTGAACACCTTCGCTAACACAGAACGACGGTGCTTGCCAAAGTTGTACATCACCGCTCAGTTTTTGTTGTTATTCCTCACCCTGGAGCCACTGAATAGAAATAGTTCAGCAGTGCAAAGAGCCAAATAATAAGGAAAGGCCAGAGACAAAGGAGCTTTAACAGAGGAGCTTGCTTTCTTCACAAGGAAATAAACTTTGTTTGCGTTTTAAAAACTTGCAGAGAGAGAGTGTAAATGTCCTAAGTGATAAGAAGGCAGCATTAAGCTAATCCTAATCAGACCAGAAACTGTAACTTATCAAACATCTGACAATTACACTTAAGAATGCTTTTACAAAACTGCTTGAGAGTAAAATAGTTCTTCACTGAAAGAGAAGAATGCGGCACATTTTTCCCTCTTCAAAGTTCAAAGTGTCTAAACGGAGCAGGAATAGTCAATCAGAGACTACAGCTGTGTCCAAAATCACTCCCTCATTCACTGCTCCCTATATAATAGGCACTCTACAGGGAGCGGTAAATTGAGATATTGAAATTGACACTTCAATCAATCATCATGATTTGCGTCATCACTGGCAGCTGTAGACTCACACAACAACAATTGCAGTGTAGGATTGTTAGCATAAAGTAGTGTACATACCGTGGTCACTACTGTTTTCATTCTAGGGCACTACATAGTGCATTCAATTACAAATAATTTGGACATTTAAATAACGAGGTGCAAGTAAAACGTGGTGCATTATACTGCAAATATGGAGAGAGATTCCATCCTTACATTTTACTAAAACATGTGATTTTGATAAGCTTTAATAAAACCTGTGCAGACAAGGAAGATCATGAAAAATGCTTGCAAACTAAATTAATGCCACATTAGCCGATTGTGCTGCCAGTAGCGGTAATAGTAGACTAAACTACAATACCTTTACCTCCATACTTTATTCTTAAGCGAGTAAGTAAAATGATTTTGACTCGTATCTTTAACTTTTACCAGTTTGATAAAAAAGCCCTGGTTGATAAAATGATGCAGCCATCTCTCCTTCAGGCTCAGTGCGCACTCGTGTGGTCAAAAGCGGCACTACGTCTGCTCAGACCCAGCACCTCTCGGAATGAACGCTTCAGGAGCTCGAGCATGGTGCATTAAAATGCTGAATTACACCGCTAATACATAAGTAAAACATGATAGATCATCTGCACACTTTAAACCCTCACAGATCTGATATCACACAGAGCAATCCATGCAGCAAATTGCTACATTTGCCTCGTTGGATTTAGAGCGCTGAAGTGAAAGGTTTTAATCAGGAGAGTAATTGCGTTTGTTAATGAAGCACGACATTGCAGAGGAGGCCGGAGCCTGGAGCTCGCCGGCTGATGGGATTTTCTCCAGACAGTCCTGAACGATTTCTGGTCCCGACTGAGGAGGTGTGATGTGTGGACTGCAGAGCAGACTGCAGCACTCACAGCCACAAAAGCTCTTAAAGCTCTGAATCCAACTGGTGCAGAAGGACTGTGAACTGGTTAACTGGTGCTGATATATTTCACTGCAGCATTACCATGTGTGGAAATAATCAAATAATACAGTATGGGCACGCTGGAAGCAGGAGGAAATAGGTGTATTCTCACCTCCAGCTGATTTTACAGATTCTACAGCAGAGAAAAAATATTGGAAATGATAAACCTAGCACACAGATGGATAAACTGAGGGAGGGACAAATATTTACCTGGATATCCTGTTCAGCTGCCAACAATGAGACTTCAAAGTGTCTTATCATCAACCACTGAGTACTGTTAAGATAATATAATTTGGTAGTTACAGTATTTGTCACACCCACTAAATGAAAATAGAGATTAATAACTTGTTAATAAGAAGAACCGCAATACAGCATAAATAAAAACTGCTCCCTGTACTTACACATATTTAACACACTGAGAGATAAGAAAACATGCAACACTGGAGCACATACAAAAAGAATCACTGTGGCACAATCAAAGCAAGCCCACCATGAAACAATATACTTTACAAAGAAGTTCAGAAATATTTTTTTAAACACACCAAAATGCTTAAATTACCACAAAACTGCTGTCCAGCCATGGGACAAAATACATTACACCGCACTACTACTTTTTAAAAAAGCTGTATAAAGTATCTGTCGTACATGTAAATGTCATTAAGTCTTGCAAATGAATAATCTACTGGTGAGTTTTGCCTTTGAAGAAAGTGAGAAAAATGGAACTTTGAACTTGAATATTCTTCGTACTGGTGGACAAACCTGAGTCATCGTCTGTGTAAACATGTTGTAATATTGTACTTTTGTGTAAATATGTTACCATGGAGCCCGTAGTGACATGTTGCAGTCGGCCTATTTCTCGTCCCTACACCAGAGCGACGAGCTGGATCCCTTCCAGGACCTGATGGACGAGCAGCGCTACCCGTCCGAGGTCACCATGCCCAGCCCCAAACACCACAAGTACCCGCCCTGCAAGGAGAGCAAGAAGGAGCTCATCACGTAAGACTCACTCATGCCTCTAACCTGATTAACACACTGCCTCAGTGTTTATATTAAACATAATTGAAATAACATGAACAATAAATAGGCGCTACACACAGCCAAGTGCATTTTGGGCAGGAAAAAACTTTTGCACTTGCGATGAGCAGCCTAAATAAAAAAATTAACTACATATAATTCTTTTATACCTCTGGCTATTGTGCTATGTATTTAAATTTGCAAGGTTGTTAATTTGTTTGTTTTTTCTGCCTCTGGGTCTTCTTTAAGATTAGTTTGTTTTAGTTTTGGGTTATATTTATATGTATATTTATGTGTACTGCATGTCTTCAAGGCTAGTTTCTCATGAAGGGACATACAATAACTTCAAATGCATTTTGTTGTTAAAAAGTGATAAAAAATTAACAACCTTTTTTCACTGTGAATACAAGATTCAGAATCAAGTTTGAATGTCGGTGTTCAGTCTGTGTCTCCCGTCCTCCTGCAGGTTGTCAAGCTGCCAGCTGGCCGACAAGAACATCCGCGGGATGATGACGACCAACTCTCAAGAACTCAAGTGAATACAAAGTCAATATAATTTGGAGCATGTTCAGAGCAGGACTGCACTCAGTTAAGACCACTAAACAAGACAGAGTCTGTGCAGTTTGGAGGTTCAGATGGAGCTCATTCAGTATTCCTTTTACGGTTGTCTTACAGTACCATCATGTGGTAACACAGTTGTGAGGTTTTGCCTCCTGTGGCGCTGGTTAACCCTTGTGTGTGTGCCTCAGGTGTCCGACCCCCGGCTGTGATGGATCTGGACACATCACTGGAAACTACGCCTCCCATAGGAGGTAGAGTAACCACGCTTCAGACTACACTACTGCCTGCAGCCTCACATGAAACTATGACAAATACATACAGTAATTCAATGTAAGTGTCTCTTAAAGCTTGTCTTCTATCCTGCAGTCTGTCCGGTTGTCCACGAGCCAAGAAGAGCGGAATCAAAATCCTGCACAGCAAAGAGGATAAGGACGACCAGGAGCCAATCAAGTAAGGTTTCTTACTTACTTAAAAAAAAAAAAAAAAAAACATTACAAGTTCTGTGAGCCCAAAGGGGAAGTTTTCACATTGGTAGGTAGATTTATTGTCACAATATAATAAGTTTTAGAGTGAAATTGAGTTTTGTAACTCCCTTCTGCTACATAGCTGATGATATTCATTAATAAAGAATTAATTATGAAAAATGGTAAACAGAAATAAACTATAATCACTGGAGCAGTGCTGAGGATGAATTAGAGTTTAAGAGTCTGATAGCTTGGGGAAAAAGCTGCTCTGCAGTCTGGTGGTGCAGCAGCAGAAACTTCTACATCTCCTCCCAGAAGGCAGCAGGGTGAACAGGCTGTGGCTGGGTGGGTACTGTCCTTTAGGGATCATTTAGGATGTTCGAGAGATGGGTACCAATGATCATCACATTATACAACTGATATTATAAAACATAGAAAAGCAACTCTGGAACTTTGGCAAAGCTGGAACCAGTGATTGTGTGGAATTTCTAACTGATAAATGACTGAAATAAGTAACCGATAATCAAAATAGTTGTCAATAAATTATCTGTCTGTTGACTAATCAATTAATCAACAAAATGTTTCATCACCAGTTTGAAAATGTTTGAAATGAAATTAGTAATGTAAGTTTGAAACATACATATATATATTTCCAAATACGTAAACTGAACTTAAAGCATGTGTCATGCTGTTGAAAGATTAGTCCGTCTACACTCTTAAAATGCTGCCTGTGTACGCTGACCTTTCTAACTTTAGGAAAGAATATTTTAGAGAGGAGCTGTGGTCAGTCCTCTACTTCACCTCCCGCTCCCAGCAGGCCAAGTCAGCAAAGGTTAGCACTAGTGAGCGCTTGACATTTTCGTTAAAGCAGAGCCGTGTTAAGCCAGTACGACCTTGTGAATAATCTAAAGTTCAGCCGGTGTCAGTCTGCAGCCAGCTGTTGCTGCCACCTCTGTTCCATCCACCATCATCATTAACAGTGAAATAATAATTAAGCTTAACCTGAGCTCGGCTGGGGAGCGGCCCGCCGTCGCTCGGCTCATTCTAATCAGCCCAAATGTCACGCGAAGGGCGTTTTGGGATGCAGGAGGCAGAGCAGAGCGTCTGGAAGCTGAGGAGGTGTCATCAGCAGAGTGAGCGGCGTTTGTCCTGCTCTTCGTTAAACCGCTGTGGCCTGGGATGCTTGGAGGGGAGGAGGTGATTCGTAAGGAGGGGAGTCCTCCCTCCCTCCATCAAACCAGTCCTGAACAGAGCTGTGGGGGATACTTGTGTGCCATTCTGTGTGCCCGAAAATCAAACGTTGCGGTGGTCGGGTTTTGGAGTGCCCCCACTGACAACACTTCTGACGCTGTTCTGCCGCAGTTTGCCATTATGTCGTTGGTACTATGCGATAAAGCAGACAAAATGACACCTCTGTGTCCGTCCTCTCAGGTGTCCGGTGCCGGGCTGTGATGGACAGGGTCATGTGACGGGGAAGTACGCCTCCCACCGCAGCGCGTCAGGCTGCCCCTTGGCAGCAAAGAGGCAGAAGGACAGCTACGTCAACGGCTCGCAGTTTGTCTGGAAATCTGGCAAAACGGACGGCATGAGCTGCCCAACCCCGGGCTGTGACGGCTCAGGACACGTCAGCGGGAGCTTCCTGACCCATCGGAGGTGGGCGGGGATCTGATTCATCTGTATCACAGTTTTTTGTTTATAATTACTGCTGTTTTCATTTTTTACTTATTCATTTCCTCAACTCTATGATGCTTATCCTGATGACTATTTTGCAAATCATACCACGCATAGATTTGCTTCAATACAGGCTGCCATTGGCTTTACTCCATTTCTAAAGTAAAACCATCACAGACACGCAAACCTGCAGCATATAGATGATCCATCGCAGTAAACCTTTTCTCAATGCGTGGGTTTTATTCCAGTCTCTCCGGTTGTCCTCGTGCCACCTCGGCCATGAAGAAGGCCAGGATGAGCAGTGTGGAAATGCTGACAATCAAGCAAAGAGCAAGCAAAGGTCAGAGCCAAACCCTACCCCTAAAAAAGAAAATAAAAACTTTATGCAAATCAACTTAAATTGTTTTTGGTTTCAGGCATAGAAAATGATGAAGAAATCAAACAGCTGGATGAAGAAATCAAAGATCTGAATGAGTCCAACAATCAAGTGGAGTCAGACATGATAAAACTGAGGACACAAGTAAGACAGTTTCTGAGTGGCTGTTTACTGTAACATAAATACATTAATTCAGATTAGCTTTATTGGCATGAATGTGTAACAACATTATTGCCAAAGCATCATACATACAACATAAGAACAATCAACCCCATACATTTAATTAAACAAGTAATTAAAGCGTAAAGCAATCAAAGCGTATGTGTGTTTGTGTTATAAAAAAATGAAGAAATATTAAAAATTAAAATTAAATAAATAAATAAAACAGTAAGTGTGTGTGTGTGTATGTTAAAAAATAAATAAACAAAACAGTAAGTATAATAGTTTAAGTATATTTACAGTAAATGGGTGGATTGATACTGTTATGGATAAAGAGCTAAAAATAAACTAGATTCCTGTTACAGACCAAACTTTTTCACTATACTATGGGTTTATATCTAATTTTAAAAATTTGTTCGTGTGTGTAGAACATTTTGCCATTTTAGACACATTGAGAAGGAAAGTGAATTCTCTGCAGTCGAGGAGTCAAACTGCGATTGATAATTGGTGACGTTTTGCCAAGATTTAAATTTTCAAATAGCATTCATACCTTTATTTAAGATAGGTTTATATTAGAGACATTTCATTCATTTATAATATAATCTATATTATAAAGTATAGTTTGTCATATTTTAGTAAGACATCTACCTTTTTTATCTGCTCCCATTTTTATGCTGTTTGCTGATAATCCAAACTTAACTCTTTCTCAATACTTACCTGTTGGTTTGATATGTTTAGTATAATGTACATTTCCTCACATAAATTATGTTTTAATTTACTACTTAATTACAACTGGTTCTACTTGAAAGTAACCTGGAGGTTAAGACGCTGACCATGAACCACAACATCCCCAGTTCACATCTGGCTGGGGACATTTAACACATTTCTCTCTCACTCGTTCCCTTTCATCTCTCCGTGAAATGCTAATACTTGATTTAATCGTCTGGTAGATCACCACCATGGAGACCAACCTGAAGTCCATTGAGGAGGAGAACAAAGTGATTGAACAGCAGAACGACTCGCTGCTGCACGAGCTGGCCAACCTCAGCCAGTCGCTCATCAACAGCTTAGCTAACATCCAGCTTCCACACATGGTAAGAAGTGGCGTGACCTGAGGCGAATGGTTTGTTAAGGCTTATATTTCTACAGCCTTAGGCTTTACAGCAAAAAACATTATTGGAAGTAATATTTTCTTGTATCTAGACTGATCAACTTTGCCTCAAGATTCAGTCAAATGATCTCAAATGTACTCTTAAATTGACTGATTCAAACCATATTAATATAAATCATTTGAAGAAATACTGAACAAATTAATGTAAGAACAGTGCATAAGTTTGATTTTGTTAGGTCATTAGACAACAACCTACCTACCCAAAGAGCTTGCTGATAATTCTTGTAATTGTCAGAAGCTGGTAGTCTGTCCTGAGGGATTTTATTGCCCTGACTTTAGCATGTCAGCTTCCTTCTTCCACAAACACAACCATGGAGTCCTTCAGGCTTTAATGTATTTGAATGTAGTTTGACCTGAGCCCTGAACCAATATTGGTCCTGAATTATATTAATTGCCAATAATTAATGAGGGAAGAATAAGTGAAATCTAAAAGTACCCCTGGTAGGTTGAACCATTATTGTAAATAATGAAGGGGTTAAACGTTTGTTAATTCCTGTAATGGCAAAATTACAAATTGCCGGAGGGATGGAAATTTGTGTTTAATATTTGGTTGTTCTTAAAAATGAATTCTGTAAAAAAAACAAAAAAAAAACTGCCAGTAAATTGAATTTGTCTCTAATCTGAAGTAAGTTTTGTTTTTAGAATAGTCTGTAGATGATTGTCCTATCATGAAATATGAAACAAGGAGTTTGTTTTTGCTCTTGCATTGAAGTAAATAAGTTGGATGACTAAATAATAGACAAGATTTTGCAGATTGATAAACTTGAAATAAAACATCCTTTATTTAAATTTTATATTGTTTAATTTTTATCAGTTTATCTGAAGGAACTTGAAGCTTCTCTCAGATCTTCGTCAGTTTCATATTTAAAGAATTATTTATTTTAAAAGTTCTCTTTGTGGGACAGTAAAGATGTCAACATTGACTCACGATTTTAATCCAGGGAGGTGTTTAAAGTCGTCTCTAGCCTTTTCTGTAGCGACACTCAGTTTTTCTTCATCTGCTTCTTTCTGTTCGCCACCTTCTTTTTTTCCCAGCAGTCCATGCTGTGCTTCGTCTGTGCTTTACAACACCTCACAGAGTTTCATATAAAGAAACGGCCCCGTCTTTTTTCAGTTTGAGTGACGTCATGTTGTCTCAGTGTAGAAAGAAGACTGGGGCTAATTGGATAATCTCTCTTTAAGAAACTAAGTTGCTTGATAACTGGACTCTTCCTGTCCTCTCACTCATGTGCGGGATTTGCTTCATATCACACTGTAAGAAAACACTTCCGTCTTAACAAGGATTTAGATTTTTTTTATCCCTCCTGAAATGAGCTCTGTGTTACTTTCACTCCTTTTGATTTAAAAAACAAAACAAACAGTACTGACGTGTTTTCGCTTGATTTTCTTCAAGTAAGTTTATTTGCGTCAGTAAGAGTGGACATTTCCGCATTCAATTCATTTACTCCAGAATATTACCAAAATGAATGTAAGGCTCATGACTTCATTCTGTGATCTAAATTGGTGCTCAGATCTGAATTTTTTGCGTAACTGTTGATATATATTGTTGTACATAATCTAGATAGATATATCGAGAACAAGATGTGAACACTGATTTGCAAAGTAAAAAACGGCAAACAATGTCACATTCATTTTATTTTTAGTACAGTTAATTTCCAGTTTAAGCTGAGTTAAAAGCATGACATCGTTGTTATTTCAGGTATGATAACTTTCCGAAGTTTCATTTTGCGTTTTTTTGTTTTTCTGTTCTCTATGATCAGATCTGAGTAAAAATTAAATCTGAGCCGGAGGGGAAGTGACTTGCTAAGGCGGACGTTGTGCGTATTTTTCTTGGTGTAGCTTATGAAGCCTTTGTGACCGCTACCGTGTGTCTAGCGGGCTAATAGACTTCTCTGTACACCCTCTCCTGTAGAGACCGCTGCCACAGAAAGAGGCCCCAGTAAAGCATAACTGCTGTTTACAGATGCCTCCCAGAGTAAGAGATCCATTTGTCCTTTATCCAATTATCCTTCTCTTCTGCACTGTCATCCTCCCCTTCCTGTTACTCCTTTAGTCCACTGTGGCACAACAAGACAAAAACAATCTGATGTGGTTTGATGCCTTCTAGAACTTTTTTTGAAATGGCAAAACCCCCCATAATATTTAAGAAGATAAAACCTCTTTAAAAACAATTTGTCGCATTTCAGAGTGTCAGGTCTGGTTTGTTATTTCTAGCAGCATTTAAATGTTGAACTCATAATTAATTGGAAAACACAAATACATTAACTGATATAATTTATCTGATTAAAAAAAACCTCTGACTTAATGATACAAATGAGATTCACGTGATAAAGCAATGGTAAGAGACATTTCTTTAGCACACCTGGAGGCAGAGCTGCTCTGGAATCTGAAATTATTTAAATTGGATTGAGTTTAACCTCAGTTGGTCGGACCCAATGTGGAAAAGAGGGAACAACATTCTGTTATGCAAAATAAAAGGGATTATTCTGATTATTAAGCTTGACTGAGACAAGTGATTGGACATTGTTAAAATGTATAGATTCCCACTGGAAATTGATGAAATGTTTGCAGATGCAACAATATTAGCAGACAAGAACATTGATATTAAACGATTCTGCAAAACCTCGGATGGCATTCTTTTTTACGCCCAATTCTAACGTTTGTTTGTTTGCTTTCTACAATCTCTGCACAAGACAACTATGGTATGGTTATGGTTAGGGGGAAGATAGTGGTTAGGGTAAGACACCGGGTTATGGTTAGTGAAAGGTTAATAAAAAGGCATATGTTATTTGCAGGTCTGTGACGGGGTGCAGATGGGATGGTCTCTTGGATGAATGTTGGATGTCACATGACCATCCACCACTCCAAGCTCCACAGCCTTACTTCCCCTTTGCTACATACAGTATAAGGCCCACTATTTCCTGCATTGGCAATGAACATTAGCCTTGGATTGCCTGTGATGATACGTCTAATACAGACATAAGTGTCTTGGGATACTTGACTAAGAAAGCACATGCAGGTTAAAAAGATCTGGGCCTAAAATCGAGCCTTGAGGTACGCCACATGTAAAACTTTGCTCATCCCAACAAACAGAAATCACAACCTTTCCAGTAGAACTTGAACAAATGTAATGCTTGGTTGTTTTGCCCACTAAGCTTTAACTCAACTAATAAGACTGTCTTTGAAGCCAAAGCTGCTCTGTCCCTGAGAAATATTTAAACGACTAAAACTCCCACTCGGCTAAGCTAATGATGAATTACCAGTTGTGTCTATTTCATCTGCCCATTAACTTCCCATTGGTTTGTAACATCCTGATTTTTTCTCCATATGCTAAACATTAACCTTCCATCTATCCACCAGCTAACCATCCCTCTCCTAATTTTTGCATGGTTTGGAATTGCACTGTGTAAACCTTCACGGGCTGAAGGATAGTTATTATTCATAGTATTTAAATGTAATAAAAAAAGGAGTATTTTAGTGAGTTTGTGTAACTGAGCCATGCTTTCCTGATGGTGTTCCCTCCCTCCCTTGCTGCCCGCCTGTCTTCCAAACCTTTCCCACAATGTTTTATAGAAAATATACTGATTGTCAAAAAACACACCTCCTCTAATCCCTCTGATTGTTTGTTTCTTCATGGGTTTCTTTCCCCTCACAGGAGCCAATGAATGAACAGAACTTTGACACTTATGTGAGTACACTGACAGACATGTACACTCACCAGGACCAGTACCAGAGCCCGGAGAACAAGGCGCTGCTGGAGAACATCAAACAGGCCGTTCAGGGTATCCAGGTCTAGTCCTGACGGAGGCCCAAATAACAAATGCAAAGCAAAATCAACAACAAAAAAAGTCAAAAAGATGGGAATGGTTGTTTTTTGCTGCTGTAATCTACCATAGTTCTTTTATTTATTCTGCTGTTATGCTCTCAACTCCATGGGTATCTCTTTTTTAAAATTATTTTGATTGTTGTTGCCTTGCTTTGAAAAACAATTACCAACGTTTTAAACAAACATTCACGTTTTGTACATTTTCATATGATCTAATATAATGTGATGTACTGTTTATAGCTGCTAATGTATGCACATTCTAGTGTATATGTATGTATTTATTTATTGTAAGCTTGAATCATTTTTTTTTTTTTCATTTTAATGCGATTTACATACATTAAAAAACTGGGCGTCACGGGTTTAACGGGGAGCAAAGCGGCGAGTGCGAAAATCAGGCTTTTCTCACGAGTTGTAAAGCTTGAGGTTGGTTAATGGATGGAATTCACTAATTTTTGTAATGTTTGAAAGTGGATCATGTGGACACTGAAATAACTGTAAATCTTAAGCTAAAATTATGACAAGAACCATTGCTATAAGCACGAAGATTTCAAACATCATGACACGGAAACTTACTGGTGCAAATCCCATCATCCCCTTCGGAGTTGTTTCGTTTCAAACTGTCCTGTTCTGTTGCTTTTCTTTGCTCATGCGAAAAGACCGGAGCGGAAAGACCAATGGCTACAGAAAATGTAGGAGACAATCTGCCATTCTGAATTTCTTTTAATCATCAACCTTGACTAGCTAATAGGACAACGTGTCAGCAATATTGGTATGATAATAATAAATCGTTTGTTTAGATATGGGATGCAATCTATATGAAAAAAAATGTTTGGGTATATGCAATTTCTTATGAATAAAACTAGCAAAGAGCTGATAGATCTTTTTACTAACTATAAATGTATTGCGTTTTGTATAAACCTTTTACTACAATCATGTTTTGGGAATCTGACGCGGGTGAAAGGACTTTGGTTCTGTCATGATCGACTTTGCACAGGGACACCTTTGTTTCCATGTTTTGATGTTTTTATTGTCAATTAAGAGGCACTTGGCAGGCGAAAGGATTTGTAGATGTGATTTTTCTTTCTAAAGGCTGATGGCTCCACTGGACTTACAGGGTCAAACGTCCCCATTCGTCATTGTATATTGCACTCGTCCTGTTGAAAACGTCTTTCCAATCATGCATCTTATTGTCTGAGCCACAATGGGACATGATGCCAGACGACATGATGACCAAGCAGCACTTTTTTTTATTATATTTGATTGTTATTGAAAAGATGAATGAAAACTAGAGCCAGCAGTCGTAACTCCATGTCTGTGCAGAATTTACCGACTGAGTATTTGATCTGAATCGGCCTTACGGTGACATTCAGTCTGAAAACACTGTACTGATGGAATATGTTTTCTGAACACCGTCGATCATGCATGCACTTTATTGGAGTAATGTCAAAGTATCATCACGTGGTAAATGAAGCAAAAACTGTACAGCGAGTTTGTGGAAACTGTGACTATGAGAAGACTTGGTGCTGGGTGATTCCTGTTTGAAAGCAACTTGGAACAATTTTCATTGAGTTGATTTGTTATTTAAAGGAAAACTCCCCCTCTGGCTCCCTTACATTGTTAACCTCCTCCTCTGGTATATGTTTTTAGCATCAAACCCACAGAATGCTGAACCACACTGACAAACATTTGTCTCAAACGTTACCTTTCAGGTTAATTCTTAAGTACAAGAAATGCTCCAGTTGTTACCATCTAAAACATAATGTTGTGAATGTAAATTATAAAACATGAATGCATCGTTTCATTGGTTAATATGGGACAAATAATATTTTATTATTGGAATTTTAAAAAGTGAGAGGCAACTTTATACAAATTGGAAATAAGAATGAAAGGAGTTATTTCTGGCATCCAGGGTTTTGCAAAAGTAAAAAAAATATATATACATTGTCTTCAAAGTTTGGATGGACCTGAAACACCTGAGTTATTATCGGTTTTTATCGGTGCAAAAAGTCAAAAGAACAAACTTGTGTGCATAAAAGCTGAAAGGGAGAAGAGAACTTCAACTCCCAAGGAGCATTTCAGGGAGATGCATCCAAGCAAGTAGTATCGTGATATTTGCCATGGCAATACTGTATCGATACACGGACGCCAAGTATCGATTTTTTATTATATAAATTGCAGATGGGAGTTTTAACTTTTTGGTACTAGAATAATAAAATCTATTGCTTTTTTAGTCCACTAGAAAACTTAACAGGACCATATAGAGGACTGAAAAAGTGATATGAACAAACAGAGAAATGTATCTTTTTAGATAAACAGATGTTGACAAAGTTTGACTTTAGGGACCTAACTGGAAGTTGGAAAAAGGTAATAAATTGCAATATATCTCAATATATTTAAAATCGCAATAAAATCGAATCGCAATATAAATATCGTGATAATATCGTATCGTGGGGGCCTCTGGTGATTCACACCCCTAATAGAAGACATGGCGATTTTTTGCTAAAACATGCCACCTTGGGTTTGAATGACACACTATCACTTCATTGTAAGCATCATATGGCTCCACTGACGTATTGTAACAAGCAGATCTAGTAAGTACATGTGATCATGTCAGAAAATGTGGAAAATATTTTCTTACATAAAGACATTCAGGGGAGTTGACGTCTATAATTTAAACCAAATTACAGCTGTTTAATTGGTGTGATATTTTTTTCAGATGACCGAAACATTTCTCTGCTATCAGTCCAGTTCCCACAGGAAGGAAAAACAAATGCCAAACTGCTAAGAGGAGGAGTTTTCCTTTTACAGTAGTTTCTTCTTTGGACTTTTACTGCAAAGCCTCATTCCCTGACTTCACATCTCTTTCCAAAGCTTTGTGTCTGCAGCTTCCTGCCAGTAACTACTGCATTAGATAGACTGACAGCTTGTATTTTTTATTTAGTCAGTTATTCTAACTGATAACAAAGGAAATGGGAGTTAAAGCACAATTCTGCCACTTAAAGAGTCAATAGACTAGATATTGTAATATCAGATGTAAAAGCTAAACTGTAACTATTTACATAGAGAATCTCAACACTAACATGTGACATGCTAGAATGCAAAAGAAATCCATATGAATATTTGTGAAATCATTCGTTTATGAAAATGTTAGTTTCTTTTCAGCAGTGCATTGATAAGGGGTTTTTATAAAGCATTCATTTTCTCTACTTTTACCCCTTTTTCTCTGTAACTCGCAAACTTTCAACAACTGTTTTTCTTACCACATGGCATGGGTTTTGTTGGTATTTTTGCTCTATGTTTAAGGTCACGAGTTGCTACGTGATGTTTTAATTTGAACTGTGAAGTTTGTACAATTTTTATCATGCTGGTGTTGGCATCTCTTGCTCTGAATAAATCTTGTGTTGCAACACTGCTTACGACCTGTTCTTGTTTTGAATTGAAAGCTGCTGTGAAGCTTAAAATGCTGATATTTTTGAAAAACACGCAATTTTGATTGTTGAGCAATATAAACAAGTGATATTTTAGCGTAGGCTTTTAGAGTTGTCAGAAAAGGTTTAAACATAAGAAAGTTTTGAGAAAGAAACTCATAAGCAATATGGACTAATGGGGGAAGAACAGACACATTTTATAATATAATATACTACACACGACATTGGATTTGTTGATATTTTACCTGATTTGCTGTCCACATAAAATAACACATCACACAGCCATTAATGTCTAAACTGCTGGCAACAGGTTCAAGAGCAGCTTGGGGATTCACACACTGGTCCATCAGTTTTGCCACTATTTACCTTAGTTTTCTTGTCTGTCTCATGGTTAAAATCAAAATTTCTTAATACTAAGAAATGCCTTTCTCTATGGTAAAACATTTTTTCAACAATCATTTCAACAAAATAAAAAAACTAAAGCATTTTTATTCAATTATTAATGCATCTGTAATTTAAACAATACATTTAAGTAATGTTGTGTACTTTAAAATTTTTTCAAGGTATCATTTGACTGTTTTGATTTAAATTTGAACTTTCAACTACTTTGATATATATAAAAAAAAAAATCAAAAACCCTATAGAAACAGTAGGCTAAAATTAGAAACATGTCTCTGTGTAATGCAATAAAATTCAACAGTACTGCAAACTAAAGTCTCAAATGAATATTGCAGATGGGCAACTTTCAGAAATCAATTCTTATAGAACTCCTTTACCCTTTAGTACGGATATACACTTGTTTTTTATCTGTCATTTTGAAGATGAAATCATGTAAAATAATCTACTAGGCTTAACCTACTCAGTTGACTAGCTAGCAATTCTAGCAGCCCTACAAGCTGGTGGGGATTCAATGTTTTGCTCAAGGGTACCTCAGCAGGGTCTGAGATGATCTCACTCACTCGCCAAACCAATCACAGGTTTCCATTATTCCTGCTGCTTCAGGTGAATAAAGAGGCAACCTTAAGGCTGTGGGTTGGTGAAAAACGATCACTTCCTAATTTCTTTAGTGTTCTTTTTTCTTTTTCTTTTTTTATTGATTACAGAATCTTTGAGGTTTTCACCGTTAGAAAGTTCAAACAGAGATGAAAACATTTTTACATAGGAAAAGTAAAAAAAACACACAAAGTATAACAAAAGTGAAATATACAGAAAACACGCTGTAAATCAGGTCATGATACAAAACCTCCAGGAACGCTGCAGCAGAGACACATTCACTCTTCTCTCGTCTCTCATTTAAAAACCAAGCTGCGCACGTCCCGGTCAAATGTCGTCATCCTCACCTTCATTGTTTACATGGTTTCAGGAGAGGTCAGCTGACAGACCAGACTTTTCTGAGACGGACCAACATCACGAGTTGATCAACGTATTGCGTTCCCTCCTTTTTCAGTTGGATTTGATGGTTCGGGTGTCTGTTTCAGCCGATGTAAACAAGTCAGCTGAGTTATTTAAACCCTGTCCTACATGTTTACTCAGTTGAAACCTCTAGTGTTTCAATCCTGAATGGCATTTTACCAGACACTTTGTGCACCACTACACCATCCAGGTAGCAGGAGAATTTATTCAGGCTTCTGTAATGTTTCCAGGCTTCTAGCACTTAGTGACCGTGTTGTGCCGTATAAATAAAATTATATTCTAATCCTAATTTATTCACCATTTTCTATAGTCATTTAGTGTTATTTGATCATTTATTTCTATGTTTATTCAATAGGTTTACGGAACTTCTGGCTGAACGTGTAGTTTAAAAGACACTGCAAAAAGCTAGGTGTGCTGCTCTGGTGAAAATTCAAGCGGCTTGGGATGTTCACCTTGGCAGAGAAGCCCCATCTGAAATAGCAACAGCAGGAAGAGACAAGTGCCGCTTTTGGATGCTGACCTTGATGCAAGGCCCGACAAGTGGAACGATATTTGTAGCACAAGCCCAAATGAAAAATACTTTGTGTGCTTGCAGCCAGCTCGAGTTGTGAGTCAGCGTAAACATGAAGATGGTAGCAACCTACTCAAAAATTAGTATACCTCTGCAAGGTCTATATGAATAATCTTAGTATCATATTAGAGATAACACTTGTGGGGTTTCAGCAGAGGTAAGCATAAGTATAGATGCTACTGAGTTGGAGTAAATGAAGATGGAACACTGCATAAATGAAAGATTTCAAACTGTACATTTTTAGAGGAATATCCCCTTCAGAATTATGGAATTACAGCCCAAAACCACAGCATAACATCTGAACATTACCTGTGCAAACACCGATGCTAATAAAGTGAAGCAGAGCAGAAGTTAGTGAGGTTTTTAGTAAAGGTGTGTTCAGGCAGAATTCCTAAACTGGCCATCTGGATACTGTCTGTGCCGTTTGAAATTTCTCAGGGACTAAACTCTAAAATTCTTTTAAACTCACTTATATCACAAAAGGTTTTTACACACAATGCAACATGTGTTTATGTATTTTCAAATATGTCAACATATCCAAACATTTGGATTTCAGGTCCATGGATGGAGCTTTAGGAAAAAAAAAAGTATTTTCAATGAATAAAGTGTCCTCTGCTCCACCCATGGCCAACAAAAGAAATAAAAGGGGTTCAACTGCTCTCATTTAATCTGATTTCTTGTGCCACTCCATGAAGCAGTTCCTTTTAGAAGTGAAGCACAGAGAGACCAGGCACGCTGTGCAGTACACAGGTGTCTTCATCTTTTTGATGCCAGCCTCGTGACATCGCTTGCAGTACCTCCTGGCTTGGGTACCATCGTCTCCATGATATGCAGGCATGCAGGAGGTTGCTGGTGGTGTTGGAGGTGGTTCTGAGGCTTTGGCAAACTTCAGCATTTCTGAAGCGAGTGTCTCCCTGAAGAGCTTCTGGTTGAAAAGCCTTTTCATGTTGGGATGGTTCTTCCTTTTGTATAGTTCCTTATGAAGAAGGAAGCTGTTGACCACAGCGATGTCCATAAAATAGTAAAAGAAGGTCTTATACCATTTCAGAGTTTTATGGTGCACAGTGTAGTAGCCAGTCAAAGCGTCGGACAAATCCACGCCACCCATGCTCTGATTGTACTTTAAAACAGCATCGGGAACGGGCACATCTTTGGTCTGCCACACGCCAGCCTTTCTCACTCTCCTCTTCACAGTCTGTCCGCTAAATGCTTCATGCACAGTGGAGCACATCGTCACTTCACGCGCGTCCATCCATTTTACAAACAGAAGTTTGTTTTGACGTATCCACCGCATATCTCCCCTTTCAGCTTTCTTTGGCAGGTCATTCTTTGTGGTCTTCGGAAAGCCAACCTGATTTTTTCTGATTTTCCCACATACACCAATGTTTTGTCTGGACAATTCCTCAAAGACGTCAACACTGGAATAGAAATTGTTGACAAACAGTGTGTAGCCGCGACCGAGGACTGGGAATTGCAAAAGGTCCATTACTGAAGTGTAGCTCAAACCCTTGCCTGAATTGTTCCTACTCTTCCCATCATAGATTAAAAAATTCCACGTGTAGGACGTTAAGGAGTCCGCAAGGACAAATAATTTGTACCTCCACTTTCTGGGCTTTGCCTCCATGTACTGCTTCCTACTTATGCGAGACCTAGTAGCCACCATCCTTTCATCTATGGAAATGTTCCGATAAGGCTGGAAGTGTACTTTGCAGGCATTCACTATCTCAGTGTACAAGGGTTTGATCTTGAAGAGTCGGTCATACTCTGCAGTGTTCTTCTTGCGGTCGTTCTCTTCGTCTTCTGCCGGGTCGCTCAGGTGCAGGGACCATAGGATGCTTTCAAAGCGATCCCGTGACATTGTATCTCCAGGGAATCGGAAGTTGTATGGCCATTCCTTTCTCCAAAAGTCCGATCTGGTATGCACTTTTACAAGCCCAGAGTAGATGATAATGGACAGGAAAATATAGAAATCTTTCACTGTCAGAGGTTTCCAAAGAAACTTGAATCCAGCCAGCTTTCTCTTGGCAGCATTAATGTTTGTGTTTGTGATGATGGTCCGGACAACAGAGGTGCTAAAAAACAGCTGGAAAAGTGAAAGGGAGACCATGAGTTGGTGGTATCAAAGGTGGGGCCAGGCTTCCTGGTGGGCGTGAACCTGAGTGGATCCGGTTGTTTATCTGTCTCTTCTCCGTTATGCCACCGATCTTCGTCCCAGTCTTCCTCCTCTCTCAATCTCGAAGTGGCAGACTCACTGAGACGGCGCTTCTTTGGGGATGGTGACCTTGTTGATGGCCCCGGTGTGTATTCTTCATCCTCAACATAATCATCCGTATCCTCCTCATCTTCCTCCTCCTCATCATCATCATCCATATCCATGTACTCCTCCTCCTCCTCCTTCTCTTCTTCTTCTTCCTCCTCTTCTTCTTCTTCCTCTTCCTCCTCTTCACTTTGGAAACAAGACAGAGGAGTAAAAAAAAAGTCAGAATTGACCAGAAATAGTATATTATTATTATTGCATGTTACTGTCATTGACTTGCATGGTGAATGGCCTAATAAACTCTTGTCGTCATCCAGTAAACTTGTGTATAAAGATTACATACTCTGGCTGAGGGGGGATGGAGTCCGACACAGGAAATGGAGACTGTGGCTGAGGAACAGGTGCAGACATCTGTTGAGTAGAGCAGCCTTGCTGTGACTGAGAGGTGGGAGAGGTGATGGATGTTGATGGCTCTGTCCTGTAACCTTCGTCACCATCCATGTCTTCACTTTGGAAACAAGACAGGAGGGAGAAAAAAGTCAGGATTGAAACAAAACGTATTCCTTCATTGGCCTATTGTTTAGAAATTGTGATTCAAAACATAAAAGCAACAATATATAGACTAGTAATAGACGGGCGCTCGATATCTGGCATATTGAGATAATTGGCATTGGGCGATACCTGCACTCATGTGGCTGATATGTCATCATAAATTAAATCTCATAACTAATCTATATTGTTATATTGAAGACACATCTGACAAACTGTACATTACTCTCCCTTAAGTAGCAGTCACCTTGTGAAATCTACAGCATAACCCACTGTATTTTTCCATTTCATTAATTAATAAAAAAAATCTAAAACAACATGTTAATAAATAACCATGCATGTACTCTGCATAGAATGATGGAATTACACATTACTTTTCTTTGTTTTGACATCAGATTTATGTATAATCGGCCACCCTTTATAGTGAGTGAGCTCCGTTCTTAAAACCAGAACACAAAAAATTTAAAAATCGTTTTTTGTTTTTCTGTTTTAAAACCAAAACTGAAAAAAGGAACAGTGGTTTATATAATATATAAGGAATCAATAACAATAATGTGTATATATATATAAAAAACATTACATACTTTTTCACTGTTTGACCCATGACGAGGTAATCCACTCTGTTGTCCTCCACGTCACACTCCGGTTGAATCAGGTCCTTGTTGTCCAACTCTGAATCTATGGGAATTTTAGCACAAACACATTTAACATTTCCAGAATGTCACAGAGAATAATTCATTTCTTCAGTCAGAATATAATGCGGTCAGGCTCTCTGGCATTCTGTGTTGCTTTCTGATATGTTGCTTTCTGATATTTTTTCTCTTCTCATTTAATATCATCCCTGCTGAGTCAACACACATGCAGGCCTGATTTATTCTTTCCTCCTCTTTGTGACTTTGTTTGAGGAAGAAACTTCAACCGTTTAACCTCAATAATAAATGAATACATTTTAATTCAGTAATAAACTCCTGGACTTTAAAGGTTCAGTGTGTGATATTTCTGAGGATCTATTGACAGAGATGCAATATAATAGGGGTGGCGATGGATAAGCCAGCCTTTGGTGTGAGAGACCCGGGTTCAATCCCCCACTGTGACCCATTGTGTCCCTGAGCAAGACACTTAACCCCTAGTTGCTCCAGAGGTGTGCGACCTCTGACATGTATGGCAATTGTAAGTCGCTTTGGATAAAAGCATCAGCTAAATGAATAAATGTAAATGTAAATATCCATAACTATACTATCAGTGTTGTATACAAACCTAATATAATGAACAGTTATGTTTTTATTATCTTAGAATGAGCCATTTCTATCTACATAACCGCGGGTCCTTACATGCCGACATTCACAGCTTTACAGTGATTTATACATTAAATCTGATCTGAAGACGTGATTCACAATACTGAGATATCTATGATTGTTTAACAGGGTGATTTTAATTGTTTAGGGAAAAATCCACTCTGAATATAAACATGAATTTGCTTCAGTCTATAAATATTTATCCCCCAGTGTCACTTTGTTTTGTTGATACCTGAATATAGCGAACGTGTCTTTATCCAGCTTGTCTCCAGCGTTAAGAAGCAGCCGCTGTTCTCTCCTGTCACGTCTCCTGTTTCTGTATCACATGCCAGCACCTTGATGGGACTCAAAACCCCCTTTATATGGATCTGGATGCTGTCCTGCTCCAACACACACACACACACACACACTTTAAATCTGTCTACCTCCTAAATGTACAGCTATAGGAATAAATCTGCATGAAATTAGATTATTATAGTAATTTTACTGACGTCCTCATTCTAATCTTGTTAAAAACAATATATCTATGTATGTATTACTACTGTCTGATAAATACATTTTCTAGGAATGCAACCAACTTTAAAAGGCATACGGGGCAAAGTTTTTCCAGTTTATCCTCTTGAATAATAGACTGAACAGATCAAAACTTTACGTTTACCTCTTTTGGTGCAGGAACCTCCAATGTGGTATCTGCAAGAGCTTTGACTATGATCACCGTCTGCTCCTGGAAGGCGCTGAACCGGCTGACGTCCTCGTAGGTCAAGTAGGCAAGCGTGCAGGAAAGGTTAAAGAAAACCTAAACTGTTCAGACATGACTTCCTGGTCTCTGGTATTGCTGCTTGCAGCTTTCAGGAGAACCACTCGGCTAAATAACTTCACACTCGACACTCAACTTCCTTGGGTCCTCAGCAATACAGCCAAGCAAGTGTGAAGTCAATCAGATCAATGAAAAAAAAAATGAAGGAAATGCATAGAGTCCTTCAATTTTAGTAAAAATTTTACCGAGCTCTAACTGATGACTCAACAACTTGACATCACCTTTTACATTTGACAAACTTGATAGCAACCAGTTGCCTGTTTATCCATCCAGGCCACTTAATTTGGATTTATGTTCTGTCTGCTGTTTAGTAGTATTCTAGCGTCCTGTCGCAGCAGGAAACAGCACCTTTTCATTTGAATCTATCCAAAATGTCCTGATTTGACAGTAGAAACACAAGGAACTACTACTGAGCTGGGTCTGATGTGAAAGGATATGCAGCGTTTTCCTTGTCCTCATTCATCTCGCAGAACTGCTGCGTACAGCTTTTGATGAGGTCGTCCAGCATGTCCTCCCCAAGCTTCAGGTTCTCCAACTCTGTCTCCAACTTTTGTTTGTTTGTCTGCAGAAAGCTGGAGATCGGAGCCTTTCCCCTGGACAGACGGAGAACAGGTTTACTTCAGAGCTTACAGGCAACACACAACATTTTTATTTGAGAGTTGATTTTTATACTTGACCGTGGGAAATACAGATTGAAAACATTATCTCAATTTAAAGTCCTCTTACTAGCTTTTTCCCCAGAGATTTCACACTACAGTCACTTGATGAAAACATGAACATAGATGTTCATGACCACAGCAAACTACATCTGCTGATGAAACCCTGAGATGTTGTTGAAAACTCAAAGGAATCTAAGATTCCTTTTCTGGAATTAATTGATTCATCTTTTTATTACTTTTACAATTAATTATTACGCCTAAACTTAATCAAAAGCTTAAATAATTTGTTTTGTGTGACTAACAGCAAAAACAGGCCCCAAGATATTCTTTTACAAATTCTTAAACAGAGGAAGCAGAAAATCCTAGAAAAGCTGAAATCACCAAATGTTTTGACTTGAATTGAATCTATGAATCCATTTATCAAACAATCCCTACGATAGTATTGTTGTATTGTGTAGAAATGCCGAAGATTGTTAAAAAGAGATAACACCCTGCTTCAAAAATCCCATATCACTCAGGTTCAATTAATTTCCGATTCCAAAAAGGATCACTACACAACTAAAGTATAAGTTAATAAAACAGCAAATTTAAAAAAAGCAAGTAATTAATTATAAAACCTAAAGACGCTCTTGCATCATATCTTTTTATCTGTTCACTCACGTCCATTTGTACATGTTGGCCGACTTCTTCTCGATGAGGAGCATGCCTTCCAGGATGTTGGTGATGTCATAGACTCGTCGCCTGCGGGTCTTCAGGCTCGTGGTCACATGATTGAGGTCCAGCAAGCAGCCTGGAGCCGCTTGCATAAAGCCCAGGAAACGCCGCGTCAGCAGCCCTAGGGAGACCTCTGAATGCAACACGACGCCCAGAGTTAGAGATGGAAGATACAGCTTTTTTTTTTTTTTTTAAAAACAACAACCTCTCCATCTCTATAAGGTTTACTTTAAAAACAGTTAGGAATAATTTTGTAATTCAAACTTCAATTATGTCAAGAATTGTTGTCTTGTTATTAGGGAGGGGCAATAAAACAATAATGATAGTTGTCGCAATATAATTTTCCACAATAACAATATAAGATATTTTCAACAGATTGTCAATACATGTTTGATTTTACTCAAATTCAACAAATTAGCATTTAATACTTTGATTAAGATATTTACGTTGTTGAGGAAATGGGACTGAAAAAAAGATTTACTAATCAAATATATTTTTTTAAGATTTTATCAATTGTTTTGAATGTTGTACCTCAAATTTGTGAATTGATCCACTGTTTAGCATCAAGTGTTTGTCACGTTCTGACCATACAGAATAGTTTAAAACCACAGTTAACCTTCTGGTTTCTAAAATTTTCACTCAGGAGCAAAAATCTGCCTTTAAATGTGACATTTAATCGCGATAGTTATCGATATCGAATGGTATTAAATGTTTTTATCATCATAACATTTGCGGCGATATTTTTATATATTGTCAAATAAGTAAAAGACTGTGTCACAGGATTCTAAATGTATTTGTCACTGACAAAAACAAGACAATTGTGATTTTGTATGTCTGTGTTTGCCTCAAACTTCTGGGACCTGTACTTTAACACAGACACTTCTGTTGTAAATAAAAGCTTTTGAGGTTCAATAACCAGATTTGTTAGAACAAACACGTTACAGCGAAAATCCTATAAAATGATTAAATTTAATGAGCACTCACCCTGTCTGCGGACTCCCTTGGTTTGGATCGTCTCTCTCTGCAGGCTGATACTGGAAAGAGACATGAAAATATTTTACTGGACTTGAAGTTTAACGTATCATTTCTGTCATGCTCATGTAAAATATAGTGAATGCCAGGAACCACATCTGTATCCTGCTCCCAGGAGGGAATCACAGCAGGGGAACAGATCAATAAAAAGAAATCTAACAGAAAGTCATTTTTATTTTAACAGGAAAAACAGAAGCAGAGAGATTTTGTTACCCAGTCCGCTTGGCCCCTGTAGTCTTTTTGGCCCCTGCATCCTGGAATTCAGAAAGTGAAAACAGCAGGTTGCAACTGTGTTAAGTTCAATTATTTACCAAAATTTCTTTTGTCACTTAGGTCAGAATTTTATCATCGATTTTTGGAGTTGTTGAAGTTTTTTGTTGTTGTGATTTGATATTTTGATAAATTGAAATTTAGCAATTTTTTTAACTCAACTTTATATGAATAGATATTCAATAAGACAAGAAAATCACAACCTCTGTATCCGCAGATAATCATTTTGAATTGTCTGGCCCCTACTTTATGGGTCTTATAAATAAGAATATACAGAGATGTTTAACATACTGTGCATCACACAGGGAAAATGCGATAGAATAAGTGTCTCCTGACCTGCTGTGGTGGATCATCATCTCCACCTTCTAATGCATGGTCATGGTCGTCGTCGTCATCATAAACATTGTAGTCGCTGTCATCTAAATCATCATCGTAGTGGCTGTCATCATCATCACCGCTGGTGGCCCCCTGATCCTCTTCCTCAGACGATTCGGCTCCCTGAGGGTTCATCATGTCCGGGCAGGGGGGCATGATCGGAATGGCGCCACTTTTGACCCCATCGATGGAGATGTCCTCTGGCAGGAAGTGGTCTTCGCAGATTAAATGCCACTTTGTCGAGTCCTGCTTGTCTGTCTCCCTCAGCGCCACCAACCATACCTGGACAAAGACATCAATGTTACGGTTCGGTCTGCTGTCTTCTTTTACACTAGATATATATTTTTACAGCTCTTCGTTTGTCTTATTTGTATCTAAAGCCAAAGTCTGTAAAGCTTCCCTGGTGGAAAAAAACCCCTCAACAATAAACACTAGCCTGTTTTTCTATTGCCTGCAGCCCCAGAAATCTGATGCATATGAAGTTATGAAAAATCCCACGTTTGCCTCACTTATATAAACTCTTCTCATGTACCTGGTTAACACCATTTAACTGTGGACATTTATTGATGCATCACATTAACACCTCGTTGCCTGTTGTTTATTATTAATTTCAAACTAACATCACATTACTGTAATTAAAACATTTTTTGATTTAAGAAATGGCCAAATTGAACTGATCCTTCTCACATCTTTTAACCTTAAACTATATATTCTTTGTGTTTGAGTTGCACTGATATGTTCCAAAAACAGCCCCTGCTGGTAACTTAAGCAGATTATAACATAGTTAACTTTGACCAAATCAAAGTGCAGTTGAATGTTGACTGTGATGTTGCTGTAAATAGTTAACAAATCTAACAAATTTTGATAGTATTTTTTAAAATTGGTAGCCTGGTTATTTCACGTGTTGGTTAGGTAACGGTCAGCGGCCAAAACATGGCGTGCACGGTCCTTTAACTACACAGGTAAGATAGCTGATAAGAGTCCGTTAGCCGGTAGAAAGATAAATAAAATACTCTTAAAGTAGTTTAACGCTACCTAGATAGCCGTGTTTTACTTTTGGTTAAATTGTTTTGTCCGTACCTTGACCTGCGCTGGGTCTTTCGGGAAGCTGAAGAACCTCTTCGGTGGTCGGTTGAGGACCCCCCGGTTCAAGTTAACGTTCACCACGCGGTTCGGACACCCGGAGACAACACACTTCACCATGATGAACCGACACTCCTCACATAAATCTGAGGGGGAATACTGGGCTTAAGCCACATCCGAGCCCCATTAGTAACCGTCTGGACTCAGAAACAAACACCACGATACAACTTGTCCTGTTTGTTTACGTCGTGTTTCTCAGATGGTTTTCAGACCGGAGGGGGTGTGTTCTTCTCGACCCGGAAATAAAACAACAGGCTCGTTGGCGCCAATTCTTTTCGCCCTCTAGCGTCCATTTTGTGTCTTAAGGCATTAGGTGTAGTTTGGTGTGAGACACCACCCCTAAACTCAAGCTCTGTTTATCGACACTTAAAATATGGCTATGCTTAGGGTGACAAATTACAAAGTAAAATAAATAAGCTTCAGTTTTTATATTTAAACTCCACTGGGGTAAGATGGTGTAAAATCACTTGGTGCAAATTAAAATAAGCTATAAGTAGCTGATTAAAAGCATGTGTGATAGACTCGTTGTTTAGAAACAGACATGCCTTGCCTTATGTTATTAGCTTTCCTATCATTTATTTCTTACAGTGATGTTGCTAGTTGCTTTGTTAGCAGAAAGTCTAGCTATGTGAGCATATATAAGCTAATAACCTCAAACCTTTTACCTCAGACTTTCTAAAAGTGAGGTTTCTAGTTGGCTAAAGGGGCTGTCCAGTCTCTAAATAACATCTAACTTACAAACAATCAACCATAAAGGGGCAAGGTGCATCTCTCATTTGAGGGGGCAGGGTCTTGCCCTGAACATACTAACCTAGTATTTTACTACTTTAACCAAAAGCTTTAAAAAAATCCTTCTCTCTAAACAATCGCATAACTTCTCTTAAGTCTCCCCTTAATGTAAAATATATATAGGCTATATAGTCTGTATCAACCATGCACAAAAAAATTTGTGTTTGCTAGATAAGGCTATTTCTTTGTTGTAAAAATTGCTTCATGGTAATAAATCTTTTACCACTGGAAAGCCTGATTATTTTCCTTTTGAGGAACATGCATTTGTGGGATGAGCAGCAGAGCTGAGTATGTGGGTTAGCGCTCTTGAAAAAACTTGCCAACTCTTCTCTGAAAATGACAAACTTTGCTGTTGACTTTTGTTTGGTGCTATTTGGTGGGTTGGATGATTGAAGTCTGAATAAACAAGACATATTGGCAATTTAACAATTTATTAATTTAACAAACAGGCTCATCAGCAGCCTGTGGAAGAACTGCTGTGGGATCATGCTGGTTGAAGAATGGGCAACAGACTCCTCTTGGCTGTAAATGGTTCTTCCACACGCTACTGACGCTCCTGTTTGTGAGGAACCGAGGAGCAGCGCTCAGAATCAGCTGCAGCTGTCTGATCAATTTATCACTTTATGCACACAATCTTGATGCCCTGCCTCATTATTAACACTTAAATTTATGCATAAATGTGTGTGTGTGTACACCAATGGTAATAACTATGAAATCCAAACAGGAGGACCTTCAGGCGTGTGTGGACTGCACTGACTGGGATGGCTGCTACCAACAGACTGAGTTTACAGATGCTGTGACATCCTACTTCAGCTTCTGTGAGAACAGATGTGTACCATCATGCACCAAGGTGAGTTACAACAATGACAATCCTGGTTCACTGCTTATGTTGGAGGCATTTAGGAGTGGGAACAGGACCGGGTTCAAGACGTTAAAGGGGTGGTGGTGAGGCAGTGGATAAGACACATGCCTTTGGTGTTCAATTCCCCACTATGACACATCCACCAATGTGTCCCTGAGCAAGACACTTAACCCATAGTTGCTCAGAGGCGTAACCAACTACAAACCCAAATCCATTTTAAAATTCTACAAGGTGTATATCCATCCAGCGACTTGGAGTGATTTTGTGGTGACAATGAAACTACTGATAATTTATTTTTGTATTTTTTCTGAAGCGTTATGTCTTTCATCTCAAGAACTTTTATTTTATTTTATCTTCATTTTTTTGTTTTGTTTTTTCCTGTCTTTTGATATGCACTTGATCCTTTTTGTAATATGGTGAAAACTCAAAGCCATGTTTTTTTGTATATGGAATAATTTTCAATAAAAACAAAAAAAATGTACTTTTAACAACAACAACAAAAAAAAGTTAGAGAGAGTTCTATACTGCGCTGTGATTGGCCAGCTGCGTATTCGGGGCGTGGCCGCCAACGAGCCTGTTGTTTTATTTCCGGGTCGAGAAGAACACACCCCCTCCGGTCTGAAAACCATCTGAGAAACACGATGTAAATAAAACAGGACAAGTTGTATCGTGGTGTTTGTTTCTGAATCTAGACTGTTATGAACGGGGCTCGTTTGTGCCTTTGGCTCGTTCCCCCCCTCAGATTTATGTGAGGAGTGTCGGTTCATCATGGTGAAGTGTGTTGTCTCCGGGTGTCCGAACCGCGTAACGTTAGTGAACGTTAACTTTAACCGGGGGGTCCTCAACCGACCACCGAAGAGGTTCTTCAGCTTCCCGAAAGACCCAGCGCAGGTCAAGGTACGGTCAAAACAATTTAACCAAAAGTAAAACACGGCTATCTAGGTAGCGTTAAACTACTTTAAGAGTATTTTATTTATCTTTCTACCGGCTAACAGACTCTTATCAGCTACCCTACCTGTGTAGTTAAAGGACCGTGCACGCCATGTTTTGGCCGCTGACCATTAGCTAACCAACACGTGAAATAACCAGGCTACCAATTTTAAAAAATACTCAAATCAAAATTTGTTAGATTTGTTAACTATTTACAGCAACATCACAGTCAACATTCAACTGCACTTTGATTTGGTCAAAGTTAACTATGTTATAATCTGCTTAAGTTACCAGCAGGGGCTGTTTTGGGAACATATCAGTGCAGCTCAAACACAAAGAATATATAGTTTAAGGTTAAATGATGTGAGAAGGATCAGTTCAATTTGGCCATTCCTTAAATCAAAAATGTTTTTCTATCAACTAAGTCTGGGATGTCGGACCATCCTTGAATACACCAACAAGGAGAGTTTTTAAAAGAGTCTCTGCTCAAAACTGTCTGACTATAGTAATGTGATGTTAGTTTGAAATTCACAAAAACTGTACAAAAGCATCCAATGAAGGTTGAGGTCAAGGGCAACTGGACTTGGTTAAAGAATAACTAGAAGACATTTGTCCCTCATCCAAGAGACTTCTTCAGTTCTTGCACAAAAGCAAAAACTCATGAATCCAAACATGCAACTTGAATTAATGTGATGCATCAATATATGTCCAGAGTTAAATGGTGTTAACCAGGCACATGAGAAGAGTTTATATAAGTGATGCAAACTTGGGATTTTTCATAACTTCACATGCATCAGATTTCTGGGGCTGCAGGCGGTGGACAAACATGACTGTGGCGTTTATTGTTGTTTGTTTTTTTTACACCAGGGAAGATTTAGAGCCTTGAGTTTGGCATCAGTTCTTTTTCCTGTCTGCAGAAATCTGACAAACCAAAATACAATTAAATATATATCCAGTGTAAAAGAAAACAGCAGACCAAACAGTAACACTGATGTCTTTTTCAGGTATGGCTGGCAGCGCTGAGAGAGACGGATAAGCAGGACTTGACTGAGCAGCGTTTAATCTGCGAAGACCACTTCCTGCCGGAGGACATTTCCACCGATGGGGTCAAAAGTGGTGCCATTCCCATCATGCCCCCCTGCCTGGAGGGTTCTCTGGGCATGATTAACCCCTGGGGAGCTGAATCGTCTGAGGAAGAGGATAAGGGGGGCACAGGCGGTGATGATGATGACAACGGTGAGGCTGATGATGACGACGATGCGTTGGAAGGTGGCGATCCTGTTAATGTGGAAGCAGATGATCCACCACAGCAGGTCAAATCACATTTTCCCTGTGTGATTAACAGTTTGTTAAACAGATCTCACAAAGGAGGTCCCAGTCAGGTTTCTTGTCCTGGGCCCAATAAAAGTCACTTCATATTGATTATCTGCGGATACAGAGGTTGTGATTTTCTTGTCTTATTGAATATATATTCATATTAAGTTAAGTAAAACATCGTTCATTTATCAAAATATCAAATCATAACAAACTTCAACAACTCCAAAAATGTTTGATCACATTTTTACAAAAGTGACAAAAGAAATGTTGGTAAATAATTGAACTTTACACAGTTTCAACCTGCTCTTTTCACTTTCTGAATTCCAGGATTCAGGAGCCAAGAAGACGTCAGGGGCCAAGAAGACTGGGTAACAAAACCTCTCTGCTTCTGTTTTTTTTTGCACCATCAATTAAAATAAAAATGTAATTCCCTCCTGGGAACAGGACACAGATGTGGTTCCTGCAGATGTTGGCGTTCACTGTATTTTACATGCACATGACAGTAATGAATTGTTAAACTTATAAAATATTTTCATGTCTCTTTCCAGCGTCAGCCTGCAGAGAGAGATGATCCAAACCAAGGGAGTCCACAGACAGGGTGAGTGCTCGAGTCATTTAATTTAATCATTTTTTTCAGTATTTTTGCTGTAAGAAGTATTTGTACTAACAAATCAGGTTGTTGAACAGAACAGCAATATTAATAAATCTACAATATTCAAAAACTATGAGCTGTCAAAAAATGCCCAAAATGACAGAAAATGGGAACTAGCTGTGGTAGGAAATGCTGCATACTTGTATTGATATTTCAGAGTTAAAAAAAACAATCACATACAGTATATACAACTATACTGGCTCATACTTGTTTTTAACGCAAACATTTACTGTTGGGTTTGCATTAGCAGTAGCTTAATAAGGATCTGATGTTGTAGAAATGGAGGAAAATACCAAAGCAAATTCCTTGAAATTGTAAAAGTATTAAATAAAGCTCATCCTAATATACAGTACATGCCGTGTGTTGTGTGAATACCACATATGGTCCAGTGCAGCAATGGCAGACTTTGCCATAATAAAGATCCAACATTTCACTTTCAGGTGCGTCCCTGGGGGTGCTGACGCTGAGTTTCCTGGGGTTGATGCAAGCGGCTCCAGGCTGCTTGCTGGACCTAAATCATGTGACCACGAGCCTGAAGACCCGCAGGCGACGAGTCTATGACATCACCAACATCCTGGAAGGCATGCTCCTCATCAAGAAGAAGTCGGCCAACATGTACAAATGGACGTGAGTGAACAGATAAAAAGATATGATGCAAGAGCGTCTTCAGGTTTTATAATTATTTACTGTGCAAGTTTGCTGTTTTATAAACGTATTTGTCCTTTTAGTTCTGTAGTAGTCCTTGTTTGTTTAATGTTTGAGCCTGACTGGATTTATGAAGCTGATATATTGGATGTTATTAGTTTTTAACATGAATGTGTGTCATTGGCAGTTCCGTATTCTTTCTGTAATTATCTGCTGTCGATTAAATTAATTGTAAATAATTCAAGTCAAAACATTTGATGATTTGAGCTTCTCATATTTAGGATTTTCTGATTTCTCAAGTAAACCTGTTCTCTGTCTGTCCAGGGGAAAGGCTCCGATCTCCAGCTTTCTGCAGACAAACAAACAAAAGTTGGAGACAGAGTTGGAGAACCTGAAGCTTGGGGAGGACATGCTGGACGACCTCATCAAAAGCTGTACGCAGCAGCTCTTCGAGATGACTGACGACAAGGAAAACGCTGCATATCCTTTCACATCAGACCCAGCTCAGTAGTAGTTCCTTGCGTTTCTACTGGGTTTTACAATTCAGGACAGTTTAGATTGATGTCATTGGAAAGGTCAGAACACCTAATTGATTGATCTGTAATTTCTGGATGGATAAACAGGCAACTGGTTGCTATCAAGTTTGTCAACTATAAAAGGTGATGTCAAGTTGTTGAGTCATCAGTTAGAGCTCGGTTAAATCTAACTATAATGGAAGGACTTTGTGTACAGAATCTCACAAAAGTGAGCAAACTCTCACATGTTTGTAAATATTTGATTATATCTTTTCATGTAACAAGACTGAAGAAATGACACTGTGCTACAATGTAAAGTAGTGAGTGTACAGCTTGTATAATTTGTAAATAATTGTGTAAATTTGCTGTCCCCTCAAAATAACACATCACACAGCCATTAATGTTCTAAACCGCTGTGTTTACAACTTGATTCACTGCCTTCAAGTGGCCAAGTCATCATTCAGAGCTAGTATCTAACTAAAATTGAAGGACTCTATGTATGCATTTCCTGTGTATTGCTGAGGACCCAAGGAAGTTGAGTGTCGAGTGTGAAGTTCTCCCGAAAGCTGCAAGCAGCAATACCAGAGACCAGGACGTCATGTCTGAACAGTTTAGGTTTTCTTTAACCTTTCCTGCACGCTTGCCTACTTGACCTACGAGGACGTCAGCCGGTTCAGCGCCTTCCAGGAGCAGACGGTGATCGTAGTCAAAGCTCCGGCAGATACCACATTGGAGGTTCCTGCACCAAAAGAGGTAAACAAAGTTTTCATCTGTTCGGTCCATTATTCAAGAGGATAAACTGGAATAATGCATTTTAAAAATGTTTTTGTCTCTGATTAAATTTAAAATTTGCTACTTTGTAATGATAAAGATAATTTTCTACTTGCATTTCTAGAAAATGTATTTATAATACATACATGGATACATCGTTTTTAACAAGATTAGAATGAGGAGAATCTAATTTCATGCAGATTTTCTCCTTCAGCTGTACATTAGGAGGTAGACAACATAAAAAGCTGCTGTGTGTGTGTGTTGATGCAGGACAGCATCCAGATCCATATAAAGGGGGGGTTGGGTCCCATCAAGGTGCTGGCGTGTGATATAGGGACAGGAGACGTAACGGGAGAGAACAGCGGCTGCTTCTTAACGCTGGAGAAAAGCCGGATAAAGACGCGTTCGCTCTATGAAGGTAACAACAAAACAAAGTGACACTGGGGGATAAAGGCTGAATATTTATAGATTGAAGCTGATTAATATTGAGAGTGGAAGATATCATTTTTTCCAAAACAATTAAAATCACCCTGTTAGACAATCAGATATCTCAGTATTGTGAATCACGTGTAATGATGAGCTCTTCAGATCAAATTTAATGTATAAATCACTCCAACATAACTGTAAAGCAACGAATAAGCTTATTTCCCAAAAGGCTGTATTATTCCATTAAACTTGGTTTTGACAGAATTGTGAGCAGAATATATGTACTGAGTAGGGATGTGACTCGTGCTACGAGATCTCGTGATATTAAAACGTGACGATATTTCTCATCGAGCTGAAAATTGTCTCGCAATATCAGAGCTGCCAACTCTCATGCACAGAGTGTGAGACTTTCGCAGTTGACTCTTTTCACACGCTCTCACAACACGCATTGATGTTTTTTTTCATGCGTGAATCAACTCCACCCAGCTGACGTGACACCAACGTACACCGCGAAAGGAATTAAGTGAACCCCCACTCGCACTGTGAGTCTAGACATTTGTGACGAACGGTATTGTAGCTGATTTTGGAGTTTTACAATATAAAAAAAACACAAACTTACTCCATTTGGGACTTTACTGTACTTTAATAGCTCTTCAGCACCTCAGATAAAGGTTCAGTGTGTAGGTTTTAGTGGCATCTAGTGGTGAGGATTGTGAATTGTATCCAACAGCCACAGTACACCCCTCCCTTTCCAAGCGCAGGAGAAGCTACGGTGACCTACACGCTCGGTCGGCTCTTGTGATAAATAATGTGTGGTCCTCTATTTGTCTAAATTTCACTTCTCTTCTTACTTCTAACAAACCAGATAACTACTGCTACTACTACTCCTTCATCTTTTTACATTTTCTTTCTTTCAACGTAATGACGAGATGGGCTCTAGAGCCATTTATCCTTTTAGGCTACTGTAGAAATAGGGTGAGCACGTGTTGTGCATGTAGATAGAAATGGCTTCCTCAAACAAAGACACAAAGAGGAGGGAAGACTAAATTGTGCCTGCATGTGTGTTGACTCAGCAGGGATGATATTAATGAGAAAAGTTGATCTCCAGGGAAAAAGAAAAAATTAAAAATCAGAAAGCAACACAGAATGCCTGAAGGCCTTACTGCATTATATTCTGTTATAATTTTACACTTTAAATTGTTACCTGCAACCTGAATTGTGTTTCACTTAATATAAATAAACACATTTCCTCTGTAAATGGATAAAGGAAAGGCAAAAAATCACCAGAATGCAGAAAATTAAGTTTAATTCTTCTGGGGGATGATCGCAAGACCTCCACCCCATATATACAGTAGGGCCAAAAAGTATTTAGTCAGCCACTGATTGTGCAAGTTCTCCTACTTAGAAAGATGAGGTCTGTAATTTTCATCGTAGGTACACTTCAACTATGAGACACAAAATGAGGAAAAAAAATAATAAAATCCAGGAAATCACATTGTAGGATTTTTAAAGAATTTGTAAATTATGGTGGAAAATAAGTATTTGGTCAATAACAAAAGTTCAACTCAATACTTCTTCACCAGGTTTGCACACACTGTAGCTGGTATTTTGGCCCATTCCTCCATGCAGATCTCCTCTAGAGCAGTGATGTTTTGGGGCTGTCGCTGGTCAACACAGACTTTCAACTCCCTCCACAACTTTTCTATGGGGTTGAGGTCTGGAGACCGGCTAGGCCACTCCAGGACCTTGAAATGCTTTTTAACGGAGCCGCTCCTTCGTTGCCCGAGCGGTGCGTTTGGGATCATTGTCATGCTGGAAGATCCAGCCACGTTCCATCTTCAAGGCTCTCACTGATGGAAGGAGGTTTTGGCTTAAAATCTCACGATACATGGCCCCGTTCATTCTTCCCGTAACACGGATCTGTTTTCCTCATCACCTCATCATTTTGACCCCACGGGACTAGATCTTGCGTGGAGCCCCAGATCGAGGGAGATTATCAATGGTCTTGCATGTCTTCCATTTTCTTACAATTGCTCCCACAGTTGATTTATTCACACCAACCTGCTTGCCTATTGTAGATTCACTCTTCCCAGCCTGGTGCAGGTCTACAATTTTCTTCCTGGTGTCCTTCGACAGCTCTTTGGTCTTGGCCATTGAGTTTGGAGTCTGACTGTTTGAGGCTGTGGACAGGGGTCGTTTATACAGATAACGAGTTCAAACAGTTGCCATTAATACAGGTAACGAGTGGAGGACAGAAGAGCTTCTTAAAGAAGAAGTTACAGGTCTGTGAGAGCCAGAAATCTTGGTTGTTTGTGGGTGACCTAATACTTATTTTCCACCATAATTTACAAATAAATTCTCTAAAAATCCTACAATGTGATTTCCTGGATTTTTTTTTTCTCATTTGTCTCATAGTTGAAGTGTACCTATGATGAAAATTACAGACCTCTTATCTTTCTAAGTAGGAACTTTCACAATCAGTGGCTGACTAAATACTTTTTGGCCCCACTGTATGTTGTCATTGAAGCTTTCTTAAAAGTATTGTTAAAATCTCTTCCTGTGTCGCTCTCGTGAACCCAACATCGTTTCGTCTTCGTGAGCTAAGTGTATCGTCACACCCCTAGTTATTTCCCAAAACTGAACCTGAGACTGAAGAAATTAATTATTCTCTGTGAAATTCTGGAAATGCTAAAAGCGGCAGTGCTAAAATTCCCATAGATTCAGAGTCGGACAATGAGGACCTGATTCAACCGGAGTGTGACGTGGAGGACAACAGAGTGGATTACCTCGTCCTAGATCAAACAATGGAAGAGTATGTAATGTTTATATTGTTTTGATTTCTTATATATTTGCTGTCTAAAGTTCAGAACAGTGGAAATTTGAGCTTGTGTTACCTAGGCTATTAGCATTAGCAATGCTAAGATGGCACCAACAGAGAGCGAGAGAGAGAGAGAGCATAGCGTTATAAGACCATGTTTTATCATCATGTGTAACTTTGGTCTGTCACTGGAATTTCTATTCATTCTATTACTGCTCTGAAATATGTATTGAATGACTACAGAAGTTTAGATGGCAAAATTATGACCATTAACAAGCCAAGTCGCTGACGATAACGTGCTACAATTTTTGCTCCCAATTATTAGCTCACTCTAAAAAACTGTGTTCCATATTTTCTTGCTGTTATGTTTTATGTCACAATTTCCAAACTATAGCCCAGTGACATGGATACCTGAGTGTTTAAATACTCTTCCTCCGTCTTGTTTCCAAAGTGAAGATGAGGAGGAGGAGGATGGTGAAGATGATTACAGACCACGTCCATCAACATCCATTGCTTCTCCCACCTCTCAGCCACAGTCTCCCCCTTCCTGTGACAGACTCCACCCCCCCTCAGCCAGAGTATGTAATCTTTATATACAAGTTTACTGGATGACAACAAACATTTATAGTCTAAATTTAGGCAATTCTCAAAGCAAGCTATACAATAATACTTTACTATTTCTGGTCGTTTTTTTTTTACCTCATTGTGAATCACTATAGAATGAATGAATAGTTTATTTTAGTTTGCAGTCTACAAAAATATTATATGTTTACACCGATCCATTTCAATCAAAATATATCACACAATTGACCCTTTGCTAAGCCACGCCCCGAATACACAGCTGGCCAATCACAGTGCACTGTAGGATTGTTCTAACTGACGTCCCGACACTGCGCTCCATTGACTCTAATACAAAAGGAGTCGTTTTGTAGATTTTTTTTTTCGCTGCATTTTTCCAAGATTAATCAAACGCTGTTCCTAAGGCACTTGTAATAATTACAGTCGCTACCCAAAGAGGTTGAAAAGAGAAGTAGTACGAATTATTCCCTTTTTCCGAAACCTAAAACAAATCCAGAAAAATGTAACTTTAGGCTTTGGATTGTACCAAATGTAATGTTAGTTAGCTAATGCTACCTAACTTAAATTACTACTGAGTATAACGTTATATAACCCTACTGTTATTGCTTTTTAATGATGGTAATAGTTAATCCTTAATATCGCTGTCCTTTATCTCAATTGTCAGGTGATGTGGTGGTTCACTTTTACTCTGTGATCAGTAGGATTTAGCTCCAGTCTGTTTATTTCACATCAATTTACAGCCTGAATACAACCTTTAAATGTGGAATGCAAACCTTTCTGAGATCGCTTTTTTCTTTTTTCCAAAAAGTAGACAATATTTCTCCAGGGAATTCAGTTATAGACCGTGGCAGCGCCGTGATAAATCCGAGAGGTCCAACAGTTTGTTGGACTTAGCAACAGTAGCAAAGGGTCAAGTAATAACTGAAGGAAAGAAACAAAAGACGAAACTATAGTCCATATTGTGACTTTGATGTTTTGAGTCACATGTTCCAATCTACATGCCAATGAAGGAATATGTTTGTGTTTCAATCCTGACTTTTTTCTCCCTCCTGTCTTGTTTCCAAAGTGAAGACATGGATGGTGACGAAGGTTACAGGACAGAGCCATCAACATCCATCACCTCTCCCACCTCTCAGTCACAGCAAGGCTGCTCTACTCAACAGATGTCTGCACCTGTTCCTCAGCCACAGTCTCCATTTCCTGTGTCGGACTCCATCCCCCCTCAGCCAGAGTATGTAATCTTTATACACAAGTTTACTGGATGACGACAAGAGTTTATTAGGCCATTCACCATGCAAGTCAATGACAGTAACATGCAATAATAATAATATACTATTTCTGGTCAATTCTGACTTTTTTTTTTACTCCTCTGTCTTGTTTCCAAAGTGAAGAGGAGGAAGAAGAAGAAGAAGAGGAGGAAGAAGAAGAGGAGGAGGAGGAGGAGGAGTACATGGATATGGATGATGATGAGGAGGAGGAAGATGAGGAGGAGGAGGAGTACATGGATATGGATGATGATGAGGAGGAGGAAGATGAGGAGGATATGGATGATGATGTTGAGGTTGAAGAATACACACCGGGGCCATCAGCAAGGTCACCATCCCCAAAGAAACGCCGTCTCAGTGAGTCTGCCACTTCGAGATTGAGAGAGGATGAAGACTGGGACGAAGATCGGTGGCATAACGGAGAAGAGACAGATAAACAACCGGATCCACTCAGGTTCACGCCCACCAGGAAGCCTGGCCCCACCTTTGATACCACCAACTCATGGTCTCCTCTTTCACTTTTCCAGCTGTTTTTTAGCACCTCTGTTGTCCGCACCATCATCACCAACACAAACATTAATGCTGCCAAGAGAAAGCTGGCTGGATTCAAGTTTCTTTGGAAACCTCTGACAGTGAAAGATTTCTATATTTTCCTGTCCATTATCATCTACTCTGGGCTTGTAAAAGTGCATACCAGATCTGACTTTTGGAGAAAGGAATGGCCATACAACTTCCGATTCCCTGGAGATACAATGTCACGGGATCGCTTTGAAAGCATCCTATGGTCCCTGCACCTGAGCGACCCGGCAGAAGACGAAGATAACGACCGCAAGAAGAACACTGCAGAGTACGACCGACTCTTCAAGATCAAACCCTTGTACACTGAGATAGTGAATGCCTGCAAAGTACACTTCCAGCCTTATCGGAACATTTCCATAGATGAAAGGATGGTGGCTACTAGGTCTCGCATAAGTAGGAAGCAGTACATGGAGGCAAAGCCCAGAAAGTGGAGGTACAAATTATTTGTCCTTGCGGACTCCTTAACGTCCTACACGTGGAATTTTTTAATCTATGATGGGAAGAGTAGGAACAATTCAGGCAAGGGTTTGAGCTACACTTCAGTAATGGACCTTTTGCAATTCCCAGTCCTCGGTCGCGGCTACACACTGTTTGTCAACAATTTCTATTCCAGTGTTGACGTCTTTGAGGAATTGTCCAGACAAAACATTGGTGTATGTGGGACAATCAGAAAAAATCGGGTTGGCTTTCCGAAGACCACAAAGAATGACCTGCCAAAGAAAGCTGAAAGGGGAGATATGCGGTGGATACGTCAAAACAAACTTCTGTTTGTAAAATGGATGGACGCGCGTGAAGTGACGATGTGCTCCACTGTGCATGAAGCATTTAGCGGACAGACTGTGAAGAGGAGAGTGAGAAAGGCTGGCGTGTGGCAGACCAAAGATGTGCCCGTTCCCGATGCTGTTTTAAAGTACAATCAGAGCATGGGTGGCGTGGATTTGTCCGACGCTTTGACTGGCTACTACACTGTGCACCATAAAACTCTGAAATGGTATAAGACCTTCTTTTACTATTTTATGGACATCGCTGTGGTCAACAGCTTCCTTCTTCATAAGGAACTATACAAAAGGAAGAACCATCCCAACATGAAAAGGCTTTTCAACCAGAAGCTCTTCAGGGAGACACTCGCTTCAGAAATGCTGAAGTTTGCCAAAGCTTCAGAACCACCTCCAACACCACCAGCAACCTCCTGCATGCCTGCATATCATGGAGACGATGGTACCCAAGCCAGGAGGTACTGCAAGCGATGTCAATCGGCTGGCATCAAAAGGATGAAGACACCTGTGTACTGCACGGCGTGCCGGGTCTCTCTGTGCTTCACTTCTAAAAGGAACTGCTTCATGGAGTGGCACAAGAAATCAGATTAAATGAGAGCAGTTGAACCCCTTTTATTTCTTTTGTTGGCCATGGGTGGAGCAGAGGACACTTTATTCATTGAAAGTACTTTTCTTTTTTTTTTCCCTAAATTTTCCATCCATGGACCTAAAATCCAAATGTTTGGATATGTTGACATATTTGAAAATACGTAAACACATGTTGCATTGCGTGTAAAAAAAACCTTTTGTGATATAAGTGAGTTTAAAAGAATTTTAGAGTTTAGTCCCTGAGAAATTTCAAACGGCACAAACGATCCTCAGATTTCCAGTTTGGAGATTCCGCCCAAACACGCCTTTGCTAAAAACCTCACTAACGTCTGTTCTGCTTCACTTTATTAGAATCAGTCAGGTAATGTTCAGATGTTGTGCTGTGGTTTATAAGAGGTTTTGGGCTGTAATTCCATAATTCTGAAGGGGATATTCTCTCTAAAAATGTACAGTTTGAAATCTTTCATTTATGCAGTGTTCCATCTTCATTTACTCCAACTCAGTAGCATCTATACTTATGCTTACCTCTGCTGAAACCCCACAAGTGTTATCTCTAATATGATTATTTGTATAGATCTTGCAGAGGTATACTAATATTTGAGTAGGTGTCTGAGTCAGAGGCCTATGGAGTAAAAATAATATAAACTTGTATGGATATTTTATAACTAATAACCAATAATAGCTCTTGTAGAGCACCACTTTTAGGTGCCTACAGAACAGAAACATCAGCGCCCATCTTCTCTTTCAGCTATTCGGTCACTGCAGTGTGCATTCAGTTGCTAGTCATTTGCTATTATATAGCATATCCTAACTGTATTTGAACATGTATACTTGAAGCCTTGAACTAGGAAGTAGGAACCAATGTGCAGGAAAATAAATTGTCATCAAATATTAAATGCGAAATATACTGTGCAAAAGATGTTTTTCAGCTCTGTGTGTGGGTCTCTTTCTCTAATGAAGCGGTGCGTAGAGATGTCTGCCTGCTTTCACCGCAGTACTGCTACCATCTTCATGTTCACGTGTTGTTGGTCAGGGAGAACAAGGCATTTACACTTGCAGTGCTGATGCAGGTCTGACTACTTTCAACAAAGCCGACTCACAACTCGCACTGGATGCAAGCACACAAAGAATTTTGATGAGAGGAAAATATTTTGTCCGATATCTCTTTCATTCAGCATTGTGGGCTTGTGCTGCAAATATCGTTCCTCTTGTCGGGCCTTGCATCAAGGTCAGCATTCAAAAGCGGCGCTGGTTTCTTGCAGCTGCTGGTGGTCACCTCAGGCTCAGTTGTTGCTATTTCAGATGGGGTGCCACCACTCTGTGTGATTTCATTTAGTGTCCCCCTTCTCTGCCAAGGTGAACATCCTAAGCTGCTTGATTTTTGGCCAGAGCAGCACGTATCCCAAAACTACCCGTTCAGCCAGAAGTCACCTCTTGAATAAAGAATAGAATTAAATAATGAAATAACACAAAATAACTACAGAAATTTATTTAACAAAAAACCTTTATATAGTGTTTTTAAAAACAGTTACAAAGTGCTTCACATTTGGGATCAAATACAAATTATGGGTCAAAGTTGCTCTAAATTACCTCAAGCATCTTTTTGCGTTTGTGTACTGCAGTTCCTTCTTTCTTATTGCAAACACATAAACACTGATACAAATACTTCTGTGATAGGCTAAACTAAGCTGCTAAGTGTTTAATACTGTTTGTTTCATGGTGGTGGTGCTATTGTTGTTGCAGAGTCCCGGAGTCCACAGAGCACTGTGCAGAGCGCATAGCCACCAGCTGACCACCAGGAGGCACCAGCTGTCCTCAGATTCAGACACAAGCTTGGAAACATTACAGGAGCCTGAATAGATTCTCCAGGTACCAGAAAGGTCGAATTGTACACAAAGTGTCTGGTAAATTACCATTCAGGCTGGAACACTAGAGGTTTCAACTGAGTAAACGTGGGACAGTGTTTAAATAACTGAAACAGACACCTAAATCATCAAATCCAAACTGAAAAACACTATTTGTGGATCAACTTAATTTGCACCTTTGCAGAGGGCTTTTTTGTTGGAACTTGTGATGTTTGTCAGTCTCAGAAAGGTCTGGTGAGGATGATGACATTTGACTGATTTATAGCACGTTTTCTGTATATTTAACTTTTTTTATACTTTGTGTTTTTTTACTTAACGGTGAAAACCTCAAAGATGCTTTAATCAATAAAAAAGAGAACTGTAATGAAATTAGAAAATTATCTTATTTCCTGTCACCAACCCACAGCCTTAAGGTTCTCTCTTTATTCACCTGAAGCAGCAGGAATAATAAAAAAACTTGTGATTGGTTTGGCGAGTGAGTGAGATCATCTCAGACCCTGCTGAGGTACCCTTGAGAGAGTTTGGTGTGGAGAACTTTACTAGCCTGCACAGAGTCCTGACCTATTACCTGGTTCTCAGGTATATTATGACGCATTGAGATGAGAATGTGTTGGATATTTCCATGCCCTTTGGTCCAAGACTGTATGGCTGCAGCCTGGAGCCTCCCGTCTCATAGTGCCTTCCGCTAGCTTCTACGGTGCAAAATAAAACTCACGTCTGGTTCTGTCTCCTCGTACTTTGGTGTTTTTGAACTAAATAGTTACGGCAATCATGCGAATGAATAAAATACTTAATAAAATATCTGCTGCTTATCCTGTATGTGCCAACCCAAAGAGACACACACACACACACACACACACAGAACAAGCAATTTTATTTACAGCAATTTCCCTGTTAAGTGTGGAAACATCATAGAATATATAAATAAAATGAGTCTTGGATTGAGTATAATGTTTATTATTTTGTTCTTCATTATCACTGTTGTCCCGCACGTTGGCAGAAATTGCTTCAGGATCCAGGGTAGGGATCTTCAGAAGCCGGGTCATTCCACCGAATGGGTGCCATTTTCCGTCCCCAGGACATAAATATGCATACAAATTATTTTTAAAATACTTTTTATTATTAAACAAAGTACCCTGCATATTAATGTAATTGCAAATGCAAGATAAAGCAATTTAGCTGTCGTTGTGGCGCTCATTCCTGTTATCCTGAATACAGTGGGTACGGAAAGTATTCAGACCCCTTTAAATTTTTCACTCTGTTTCATTGCAGCCATTTTCCAAAAATCAAAAAAGTTCATTTTATTTCTCAGTAATGTACACTCAGCACCCCATCTTGACAGAAAAAAACAGAAATGTAGAAATTTTTGCAAATTTATTAAAAAGAAAAACTGAAATATCACATGGTCATAAGTATTCAGACCCTTTGCTCAGTATTTAGTAGAAGCACCCTTTTGATCTAATACAGCCATGAGTCGTTTTGGGAAAGATGCAACACGTTTTTCACATCTGGATTTGGGTATCCTCTGCCATTCCTCCTTGCAGATCCTCTCCAGTTCTGTCAGGTTGGATGGTAAACGTTGGTGGACAGCCATTTTCAGGTCTCTCCAGAGATGCTCAATTGGGTTTAAGTCAGGGCTCTGGCTGGGCCATTCAGAACAGCCACGGAGTTGTTGTGAAGCCACTCCTTCGTTATTTTAGCGGTGTGCTTAGTGTCATTGTCTTGTTGGAAGGTAAACCTTCGGCCCAGTCTGAGGTCCAGAGCACTCTGGAAAAGGTTTTCGTCCAGGATATCCCTGTACTTGGCCGCATTCATCTTTCCCTCGATTGCAACCAGTCGTCCTGTCCCTGCAGCTGAAAAACACCCCCACAGCATGATGCTGCCACCACCATGCTTCACTGTTGAGACTGTATTGGACAGGTGATGAGCAGTGCCTGGTTTTCTCCACACATACCGCTTAGAATTAAGGCCAAAAAGTTCTATCTTGGTCTCATCAGACCAGAGGATCTTATTTATCACCATCTTGGAGTCCTTCAGGTGTTTTTTAGTAAACTCCATGCGGGCTTTCATGTGTCTTGCACTGAGGAGAGGCTTCCGTCGGGCCACTCTGCCATAAAGCCCCGACTGGTGGATTGCTGCAGTGATGGTTGACTTACTACAACTTTCTCCCATCTCCCGACTGCATCTCTGGAGCTCAGCCACAGTGACCTTTGGGTTCTTCTTTACCTCTCTCACCAAGGCTCTTCTCCCCCGATAGCTCAGTTTGGCCGGACGGCCAGCTCTAGGAAGGGTTCTGGTCGTCCCAAACGTCTTCCATTTGAGGATTATGGAGGCCACTGTGCTCTTAGGAACCTTAAGTGCAGCAGAAATTTTTTTGTAACCTTGGCCAGATCTGTGCCTTGCCACAATTCTGTCTCTGAGCTCTTCAGGCAGTTCCTTTGACCTCATGATTCTCATTTGCTCTGACATGCACTGTGAGCTGTAAGGTCTTATATAGACAGGTGTGTGGCTTTCCTAATCAAGTCCAATCAGTATAATCAAACACAGCTGGACTCAAATGAAGGTGTAGAACCATCTCAAGGATGATCAGAAGAAATAGACAGCACCTGAGTTAAATATGAGTGTCACGGCAAAGGGTCTGAATACTTATGACCATGTGATATTTCAGTTTTTCTTTTTAATAAATTTGCAAAAATTTCTACATTTCTGTTTTTTTCTGTCAAGATGGGGTGCTGAATGTACATTACTGAGAGATAAAATGAACTTTTTTGATTTTTGGAAAATGGCTGCAATGAAACAAAGAGTGAAAAATTTAAAGGGGTCTGAATACTTTCCGTACCCACTGTATTTCTGCATACTGTTAGCCAGTGCTCATTCCTGTTACCCAGTGCTCATTCCTGTTACTAAATTGTTTAGTTTTCATAAAAAAATAAGATAAACCACTATTTTATTCTCTTATGATTGGTCAATCATTTATCCCATTGTTTAATAAATTACATGATAAAAACATTGATAAACCTTAGGTTTCGGTCTCCTTTAAAATAAAAAAAAGGTGTTGCATTTTTTTGAAAAATACAACTTGCATGCATATAAATTACATTTTTTGTCAAAAATATTCATTTTTTGAACATGTAACCAACAATTTATTATAAATAAACACTTTCCTTATGGAAAAACAAAGGAATTATTTGACCTGCTTTTAAACATGGTTTCAAAATGGCACATAAGTTTTGGTAACAGGAATGAGGAAAATGCAGGCACCAGAAGGGAGGGCTTATTATTATTATTATTTTTTTTTTTTTACAAGTCTGGTGAATTTATTAATTCATGTTGTACAAAACTGTTATTTTATATATTTTGACCTACTCCTAACATCATGATCTACAGTACGTTATTACATGTTAACAATGGGAACTGCATAAACTGTTTTATATAGAGAGTCTGGATTATCTGATAATAAACAGACTACAATGAGACTGCAGCCTGGTGGCGCTGATGTTTCATTTGGGATCCCATTAGAAGTACTCAATATGGTCGTGGTGGCTCTTGGATTGTTGCATGTTACTCTGCGCAATCTCACCTCCATAACATGGGAGTTTTTCATAAACACGTGAACCTTAATGAAGTACTTGGTCCCCGCCTGCGTCGAGTAGCTCTTGGCTGTGAAAACATCATAGGTCTTCCCTGCTTTCTGCTCCGCAGATCTTCTGGATTTTTTCGTCCGCATCAGCGGAGAGGTCCCTCCACACATCATCGGCATTGTGACAGGTTTTAGTGGAGAAAAAATAAGCAGATCACAAAAGTAAGCGAATGAGTTTGTAACAGTGAGACGGAGACGGGGGGCTCCAGGCTGTAGCCATATCCGGATGTATGTGCAGTTCCGGAAAGAAAACAAACTTCCCCAATTTTTTTTTGAGCAAAAAATAAGTCTAAGACAGGTAAAGACATGTTTATGTTGACACCCGGTGTTTCCACCTTATGCGTCTATAGCAGCTGTATTTTTTGTTTTACCATGTGACAGACAAGATAAGGTAAATAGTAGAGAAACTGTTGGCTGTGACCGACCAGTGTGAGT